TACAAAATATAGTCCTGATGGAGGGCTAGGGGCTTTAAACAGTTGTATTAAACACTTTTTACTTGTTTTATGTACTCAAGTATAACATAAAAGGGAAACTGTGGCTTGAAATTGCATAAGAGGAACATCTGGGTAGGTTCAAACCCGATGGATATTCCACACAACTATGGATCAAAAGTCCTCAGCTTTTGACCCATAGTAATTGAATGGAGTAACATTTGTTCTCACAAGATTCAAAGGTTACATTCCCTACGTTCAGGAGACTAGAAGCTAAAATGACTCCTAACTAATTTTAACACTAAAATTCGGTTTCCAACTTAGTGAGAAATAAATTAATGGCATAAAGAATTAAGAACATACCTACCAACGTATCGTTATGCAAGTTAATGAAAAAAAAACACTTGTGCGAACCAATAAAAATCAACTCCCAAAACATAAAAGCATTTAAAATGCATGCGAACTTTTACGCTCAATTTGAGTTTCACGAAAACAATGATAAAATTAATACGAGTAGTGTTGTGTGACATTAAAATAGGATATTATCTGGATTTAAGTAAAAATATCGAGTGATAAGATAGAATTCGAAAAAAATCGATAATAACAGACACATTGCGTGGGTTTCGTTACATTTGTGACTTCAAATCATTGTGTGATTCAAATCTTTTATAAGCTTTGTTGTGTTTTGAAGGGTTTGATTTTTTCATTTAAAATGTAAATTAGTTAAATGAAATTTTGATTTTCACTTTTCTATAAGTATTAGTTATTTCATATTTTAATCATTTTGTCCCAATTAAATTATCAACTGCCGTCACTAAACGCAACGGAGCGCGAACCCCATATGCAGTAAAGCAAACTGGTGGCACTGTGATTTTTTATTCGTTTTTTTTCACTCGAGTAATGTGAGTGTGATTTATACGCTGTCACAGTGTCGCGGACGCGATTGAACCGGCTACCGTGTGTTATGAATGAAAAATCGCGTGCCCTTAAGTACAGTGAGGTGCAGAATAAAGTTTTACCTTATTTAGTAAGGGTGTTATACTCGTCGGCGTATGAAACGTGGTAGTTGCTTTTCAAAAGTACCTAGCCTTTGTCTCAAGTAACCTCTCAACTTTAAGCTTGACTTTTGAAATCACTTGGATACATAATAGGATAATGAGATTTATTTAAAGCTTTACATAATATTTCATGCAATTTCATGGGTTCCATATTTTACGCAATTGATATAAATTTACATGGTAGACGATATTTTGAGAAAGCTATCAAAAGCCTTTCACTTATGGAAAGCGCGGGGGATAGAGCTTTAAGACACCCCGTCTTAAAGCTCTAATCCTCAGCATTATCCATCAAAACTACATATCTTCTTGAGGATAGCCATCTATCGGTCATCGTCCTACACACCTTTGCCGATACGATGAGCTATGTAAGAGCATCAGGTGTTTCAAAAACATTACAAAATCAAAATATCTGGTACGATAACTGTAAAAAGAAAATTAAATGTACTGACTCACTGTATAATATTTTCACTCGCAGTTAGCAATCAACTGATACTAATCATCGAGTCGGACATTAATTGCGATATATAAAATATAACGTTAACGGAAATAAAAACTACCCACTCCGTTTCCCTAATTTATAACCGAGATAAAGGCTATAAAACACGATCGGGACATTAAATAATGCCGAAGAGATGTGTCAATTAGTGGCACATTCACGACAATATTAAAAACAGACATAAATTAAAAGCTGACAATCGCTACCGAATAAAATTTCAACTACCAGTGGCACAGACTACAAGTTTGTAGAGGCCGCATAAGAATAAATAGGTCAGGTTTTTACGGACCCCGAAAACAGTAGTATAACACAGATACCGTTTTTGTTAAAAAAATAAGTGCAGCTTAATGCGTTATTTTAAATTCTCTCTTACTATAAGAGTTGGTGGACGCGAGCTCTAGTCTCTTAAGTGACCAAAAGTGTTGTGAAGCATAATTTTAACCTTATTAACCCATTTAGACCGATAATTATATTTGTAAATAAAAATCGATTTTTCACCAAAAACTTACAAAGGGAAGCCTAAAAATCATGAAAAAAATATTTTAAAAAATAATCCATAAATAGGGGGCCGTGGGGAGCCCGTACCATATAGGGTACAGTAGGTCTATAAGCAAGCAAAACATAGTCGTTGTTCAAAGAAGATTTTTATTTATTTTTGTATGATATAAAATAAAAAAAATCACATAATCACTAGTATCACACTTGGCATATCTTGTAAGACGTTTTCTGTGATACTAACCACATTTGGTTCTTTTTTCTTACCTTCTCCGAAGTTAGTGAGGATAGCTGAAGAAGACCTGGCTTCTTCTGATTTGTTAGGTTTAGTGCTATCCATAATCGCATTTAGCAACACTACGATGGAAATTTAGCAAATCCATCGAAGAAAACTCTGAGGGTTAGTATTTACATTGACACTATCTTTATTGCGTAAATCTTCGTCAACCTGATCATCATTAGCGGTCATCTGACAAGACAGCAGTAGAAAAATACCAAGATTGCTTTATGTTTGCTGAAATTATCAAATTTTTCATGAATTGTGGTAATATAGTGAAGCATCAATAGCCTAAAATAAATAAAAATAATAAGTATTAAATTATATTTTTTCGCATGATTTGCTCATGCATAGACCTACTGTACCTTATACGGTACACCTATTTTAGACTGGAATAAACCGTATAAAAATAATCTCAATAATATTTTTTTTGTAGTCATGATAACTATTGTACTCTATTTTTAAAATAAAATTGATAAATAACATAATTTACCATGAATAATAAGAAATAATATTTCTTAAATACATTGTAAATATTTTTTTTTGTTTTCTGTCGAGGAATTTCATAAATATTTCCGAAACCACTTGTTAAAAAATATTTTTAAATATTTTTATGTAAAATAATCACTTTAAGCTTACTGTCACAATCATTTTTACAAATTAACAACAGTTTGGTACTTCGAAATATTTTCGAAAAGATACCGTACCACATAGGGTACGGTAGGGCTAAATGGGTTAATAGAAGACAACACAATGTTTTTGGTGATTTGCAGGCAAAGAATAATAAACTTTGGACACAAAGAAAATCATCATCATCACAGCTGAACATTAGGTCTTCCCCAATGATTTCCATATTGACCGGTTGATAGCGGCCTGCATCCAGCTCTGTTTAACTTTTCCCCTGGACGAACTTGACCTTCACTGTTTGGGTTTTAATTGGCGGTCAAGCCGTAGATTCTAGCTACACAGGAGTTGCAGCGGTGGGAACGAGAGGTGGGATAGTCCCGATACAAATTAAAATATTTCAGCGTCTATCTATCTAACTTGTCTATGGCCAACTGCAATAAATAACTTTAATCACAACCCTCCCCATGCATAAGTCATGCTAAGCGATAGTGGTAACAAAACATTTTTTATGCGGCCCCAAAAAATAATACATCAAATGAATATTTATGTTCAACAGAAAACGCTTTATCATTGCATCCGCTTCACGAGTCACCCACAAAAGGCTCCAATTTGAATCTTAGTGACATTACAATAAAATATACAATATTTGAATAAGGTTCACGGTAGCCCTTCTAATTTTGTAGTTGAATCTAATATGGTAGAGTCATTCCTATTCAGTACTAAGCAAGTATCCACTATACAGGGTGACTTTGTTATCAGTATCCAATTTTTTTTAATAAGCTCGTTAGAACAATTTGACAATACAACTTTATCGTAATTATTTTTAATTGTGGTATTTTTCGCAAAAAAAATATTGAAAGTCTAATCCGCGGGTGCCCATATCTTAAGTTTTAAAGGTTATTGCTTATTTTCGCTCACCATTATGTCTATTAAGCTTTGCAGTTAACTGTGTGTACGTATTTTTCCATGAACGAAGCAAATTTTCCACGTGAGTCAATTTGGAAACCGCGCGCAGTGGATGAAAATAATTAAATATGGAGAAAAAAGTTTTGTTTTCTTTACGTAAATCAATTAAGTTACTGATTCTGAGTCGATCCTGAAAATTTTGATACTGATACAAAAATCACCCTGTAGAGAGAATGAGTATGTACCTACAGGTCTAGAGTCTAAAGCTTGAGTCAATCAGTGCCTGAAGTATGGGAGAGGTGATATGTATGTTAAAAACGGTGGAGTGGACTGTATTATAGAGTTAGGTGGATAGGCCTGCCGGTGGTGATTGTGGTATGCCACTAGAATCAAGGAAACTCCAAAAAAGGGCCAGAACAGTAGGTATATTGCAGCTTTGCAGCTCAAAACATTAACACGAGAGAGTACCAAAAGCAACTTCAAAAATCCATTAATCTAAAACAATATTAAAAAAAAGTAAAAAACCATAAACAGTTATCAAAAAGGATTGCTGGCCAAACTGCCAGCAACATCCTCCACCCCCCTGGCAGAGCCGATTTAGTCAGGAGGGGAACTTGATAGTAGTTTGACCAGCTTGATGACTGGTCGCCGCAGAATTCCGCCGGGAGAGTGGTGACCTCTGTGACGCGGATTATTTTGTCCTTGCNCCTTAAAGGTTACATAAATCTTTCTTTTGTCACCTGTCATCTGCTTTGCACTGGAGGGAAGTCAAATCTTTACTTCGAACTCCTATGTTCTTCTGATTAATTTCGCTGCGGGTCCAATGACAGTTTAACTGTCCCCCGGGATAAACTTGACCATTACTGGCTAAAACGCGTTGCATGCCTATTATTTAAAGTCGATGTTGTGTTATAAGCGAAATGTAAACTTTATAACTTATCTTTTTATCTCTCTGTTCATGTCTCAAAACATTTTGTTTGTTTTGATGATATCACACGAAATATTAACTCACTTCATTCATTAGTACACTGTAATTTTCCTTGTGCATATCAATTCACATTGATTCTATAATGGTTAGGAGATTACGAACTTAAGTATGTTTAGGTCATGTGCATATCGTAAACTTTGGGTCTCGTGTTCACAGCTCATACTATGGAACCCGCTGGCGGACGAAGACAATGAGGACTACGAGAAAATGGACTGGTACAAGTGAGCATTGTTTATATTCCGTTTCATATTTTAATATTAATATAGGCCAGGTTTCCACCAAGGCGGAGCGGAGAAGTGTTGGGCTGTCAAATTGGGCGAAGCTATGCGAAACGGAGAAGTAGAAATAATTATATCTTATTGGTTATTCAAAACACTTCTCCGCTCCGCTCCACTCTGCTCCACCTTGGTGCACGTGTCACATGATCGTGATGTGTTTTTGTTTTAACTCAATGGATAATATGAAACTCTATTTTGCTCAGGTGTGACTAAACTTTGGATGCAAATTCTAGCGCAATAACGATGTAGTTTGTATCATAATTCACATCATTGTTACGCTAATTTGACTTTCATATTTCATTGTTAACAGTTAATAACCTACAGTTGTGATTACAATCGCTTGATATTGGAACCTACAAGATTACGCGTGAGGTGTTATACAAACTATTTGTTATTATACAAACCCATTTCCAGATGTCTCATGATGTATGGCGTTCGGCCAGAAAAGCTGTCCAGTGGGTCATCAGGCTCTGAAGATGAGATGGAACCGCTGCCGCCGGTCACTGAGGAAACGGTCCGTGATGACCCGGACTTATTCCTTGTGCCGACCCTGGTCAACCGGGTTGTGCTACCTAAGTTAACCGGTAAGTTATAGTAAGAAAGAAAGAAAATACATTTATTTGGCACACTAGAACAACAAACATAGAGTAGTGCTATTTTTTATCATCATCATTTCAGCCATAGGACGTCCACTGCTGAACATAGGCCTCCCTCAATGCTTTCCATGTTGATCGATTGGTAGCGGCCTGCGTTCAGCGTTTCCCTGCTACCTTTATGATTTTATGCAGTTTTTTTATATCTTTTTGTTTTCTACTTACCCTAACTAACAGTGTCGGACGTCAAAGGAGGATACAGTGTAGTATAGTGTATTTTTAAATGTAGTTATCATAAGGTTACTCAGTAGGTCTTTTGATTTAATTGACAGATAAAATAACTTACGGGAACTACGTATCCTAGCTCAGAAATTGAGTATGGCCCTTGGCTTAGTTTTATTAAGTACTAGCGGCCGCCCGCGACTTCGTACGCGTGAATCCCGTTTTTCCCGCTTCCCGTGGGAATTTCGGAAATTCCTTTCTTAGTGCACCTCTACGGTACCTAAGCTACGTCCCTTCCAAATTTCAACTGCCTACGTTTAGCCGTTTAGGCTGTGCGTTGATCTGTCAGTCAGTCAGTCAGTTTCTCCTTTTATATATTTAGATGTAATCTGTTTTGTCTAAACATGTGCGTGCAACACGACAGACGTATCCGTAGTAGAAACAAACTACCTAAGCCCTATGTCACGCACAAATAATATACGCCCCGCGCATGTTAGGTACCTATGTTAATGTTTCTTGACTCTGAAAAGAGTTTAATAAAAACAACGCCATTTACTCTTTGTAAACATTTTATTTTGTTTTATTTAGAATTTATTATACCTTTACCTAGCTAAAGTACGGCCAACTAGCAGCGATACAAAAGGTCGATACGACTGTCGAGTTGACAATATATTCTCTTCCCATCTTGTGTATTTGTCGTAATGTCTCATTCTCCCGCCAAAATTTGTCAAAGTCAGACGGGTTCACCCATGACATTGGGTTTGTTTACATTTGGTATCGCTTCTCGTTGGCCGTAGTTTAGTTGTACCTTGTGTGTTTCTTTTTCTTTCTGTTCTGTTCTTTGGTGTGCAATAAACAGTATTTATTTATTATTATTAATGTTTTTTGTTCAGAACTGATCGAGCACGCATGGGACCCGATGTGCGTGCGTGGCTGCGTGCGCCTACGCGCGCTTTTAGTGAAGTTCGCAGCGTTACCCGGCTCTCGTACAGCGCTGCAGCGATTAGCGGCCAGCGCGCGAGCTCGCCTCGCCTCGCACGTGGCCGCTGATGTCTTCCTGCCACCTGTGTAAGTGACACTACCTAACTTTAGTAAAGCCTGGTCCGTGAGCACGTAGAATCCCGTTCAATGACCCCAAGCTACCTATCCTTGTCGCTCGTGCGTAATTATATTGCTGTCGCGACTGTGCGACGCGCGCCCGCAGTGAGTGTGCGAGCGCGACAGCAACATAATTACGTGCGAGCGACAAGGATGGGCAGCTTGGGGTCATTGGACGGGATTCTACGTGCTCACGGACCAGGCTTTATCTGCAATACACTACTCGCTTCGAGGAAGCATGGAACCCTCAGTGAGTCCGAGGCTGAGAAGTTTGCGACGCTACGATGCTCTCTCATCGCGCTGCAGCGACTAGCGGCAAGCGCGCGAGCTCGCCTCTTCTCGCATGTGGCCGCTGACGTATTTCTGCCGCCTGTGTGAGTAACAGACCCTATAATACTTTACTCGCTTCAATGTTATGACGGAGCCCTCGAGAAAGCTAATAGCATGAGACCCGATGTGCGTGCGAGGCTGTGAAGTTCGCTGCGTTACCCGGCTCTCGTACAGCGCTGCAGCGATTAGCGGCTAGCGACCGCGCTCGTCTCGCCTCGCACGTGGCCGCTGATGTCTTCCTGCCACCTGTGTGAGTAACATAACCCGCTTTACTCTCTTCAACGTTATGACGGAGCCCTCGAGAAAGTTAGTCGTATGGACCCTGTGTACATACTTGCGTTGCTGGTGAAGTTTGCGACGCTACGATGCTCTCGCATCGCGCTGCAGCGACTAGCGGCCAGCGCGCGCGCTCGCCTCACTATGCACGTTGCTGCTGATGTCTTCCTGCCACCTGTGTGAGTGATATAATCCTATTGTCTCTAATACTTTACTCGCTTCAACGTTTCGACCCAATGTGAGTGCGAGGCTGTGAAGTTCTCTCGCACCGCGCTTGAGCGATTAGCGGCCAGCGCGCGCGCTCGCTTCGCTACGCTACCCGGCTCCTGCGCAGCGCTTCAGCGGCTACCGTCGCGCATTGTTTGCAATGCGCGACGGTAGCCGCCGGTAAATTGAACCAGTGTTCAATTAATGTCGTGCGGCTTATCACGAACGGGCGTTTATTGTGTGCATGCACTGTCATGTCGTATAATATGTCTACTAGCAGCCGCCCGCGACTTCGTACGCGTGGAACCCGTTTTACCCGTCTTCATCTATCTTACGCGGTTTAGATATTTTCATACAAATGTTTTTTCCCGCTAACTCCCGTTCCCGTAGGAATTTTGCAATATCCTGTTGTAACTAAGCCTTAAGTTTACTAAGGTACATGCATGCTAAATTTCAAGCGTCTAACTTAAGCGGTTTAGATTTTCCATACAAAAGGATTTTCCCGCTAATTCCCGTTCCCGTGGAAATTTCGGGAATTCCTTTCTTAGTGCACCTCTACGGTACCTAAGCTACGTCCCTTCCAAATTTCAAGTGCCTCCGTTTAGCCGTTTAGGCTGTGCGTTAATATGTCAGTCAGTCAGTTTCTCCTTTTATATATTTAGATAAACTACCCTGTTTTTCATTTTAAGTGAAATGTACAATTTATTTTGAAAAATAAATTCTTAAACCTTAAACAGTACTAATAGCTAACGTGTTGTCTCCTCAGCGTGGGCGAGGGCACCAGCGGCGCGTTCTGGCGGCGCTGCCTGGGCGCGGGCGTGCGCCTGCTGCGCGCCACGCTGGCGCTCACGGGCCCGCCCGCGCTGCTGCACGCCGACCCCGTCGTGCGCACGCTCGTCGGTCAGTAACACATAATAATATACCCGTGTTTTTTTTTTATGTGATAGGAGGCAAACGAGCAGACGGATCACCTGATGGTAAGCAATTGCCGTCGCCCATGTACACCCGCAACATCAGTGAAGTCACAAGTGCGCTGCCAACCTTTTAAATCCCATTCCCCCCCAATTGGGCCTCCGGTATCCTCACTCACTCGGCGAAACACAGCGCAAGCGCTGCTTCACGCCGGTTTTTTGTGAGGCCGTGGTATCACTCGTCTCGTGTAGCATGCAATGTATCAGTAGGATTCAGGAGCTCGCAGCCAGATACGCGATGACCGTGGACGAGCCCCACTCACTTGAAGGTTGGTTACGTTACATGCTACGTTATGTGTTACATGGCAGGTACTATAAAGCAGGGTACCCTGCCTGGGTACTCATATAGCCGTGTAGCATGTAATGTATCAGATACTGTATCAAGTGAGTACATAGGCACGAGCCCACTGCGAGCCGCCGAGTGGCGGTATCACTACGAGCAGAAAGGCGGCTCGCAGTAGGGTTCAGGAGCTCGCAGACAGATACGCGATGACCGTGGACAAGCCGTACTCACTGGAAGGTTGGTTACGTTACGTGCTACATGGCAGGTGAGTACCCTGCCTTATAGTTCTTGCAACTCACGAAGGCGAGTGAGCTTTACATGTGTGTGTACGTGTACATGCACATAACGATAGTCTAATGTCTATCAAAACTTGAATAACGAACAGTAGCGAGCCACACATGTAAAGCTCACTGGCGGGCGAGGGCAGCAGCGGCGCGTTCTGGCGGCGCTGCCAGGGCGCGGGCGTGCGCCTGCTGCGCGCCACGCTGGCGCTCACGGGCCCGCCCGCGCTGCTGCACGCCGACCCCGGCGTGCGCACGCTCGTCGGTCAGTATACACAATATAGTTCTTGCTACTCCCGAAGGCGAGTGAGCTTTAGTGCACGCTCGTCGGTGAGTAACACAATATTGAGCAGCGTACTCATATAGCCGTGTAGCATGTAACATGTAATGTTTCTTACGACACCCACGGGAAGAGTAGGGATTGGTGACAAATGTGTTCTACTCTGCCGTCACCACACGGCACTCTACTACTCTTCCCACGGGTGTCGTAAGAGGCGACTTAGGGACTATACATCAAACATAGAACGGGCAGCAGCGCTCCCTGAAAAACATCAATCTTTTCAACTGTGATCTCCAACCCGCCTGTCAAGCGTGGGGATTATGGCAAAACCCTCCACTATAGTGGAGGAGGCTCATAGTCCAGCAGTGGACTGTAAAGGACTGTTGATGATGATGTAATGTATCAGATACTGTATCAAGTAAGTACATAGACACGAGCCCGCTGCGAGCTGCTCGCGCGTGGTTCGCAGGGAGATCGCAGCGACCCGCCGAGTGGCGGTATCACTGCGAGCACAAAGGCGGCTCGCAGTAGGATTCAGGAGCTCGCAGCCAGATACGCGATGACCGTGGACGAGCCCCACTCACTTGAAGGTTCGTTATGTTACGTGCTACATGGCAGGTGAGTACCCTGCCTTATAGTTCTTGCAACTCACGAAGGCGAGTGAGCTTTACTTGTGTGTGTACGTGTACATGCACATAACGATAGTCTAATGTCTATCAAAACTTGAATAACGAACAGTAGCGAGCCACACAAGTAAAGCTCACTCGCGGGCGAGGGCAGCAGCGGCGCGTTCTGGCGGCGCTGCCTGGGCGCGGACCCCGTCGTGCGCACGCTCGTCGGTCAGTACACAATATTGAGCAGGGTACTCATATAGCCGTGTAGCATGTAACATGTAATGTATCTTACGACACCCACGGGAAGGGTAGGGATTGGTGACAAATGCATTCTACTCTGCCGTCACCACACGGCACTCTACTACTCTTCCCGTGGGTGTCGTAAGAGGCGACTTGGGGACTACACATCAAACAGAACGGACAGCAGCGCTCCCTGAAAAACATCAATCTTTTAAACTGTGATCTCCAACCCGCCTGCCAAGCGTGGGGATTATGGAAAAACCCTCTACTATAGTGGAGGAGGCTCATAGTCCAGCAGTGGACTGTAAAGGTCTGTTGATGATGATGATGTAATGTATCACATACTGTATCAAGTGAGTACATAGGCACGAGCCCGCTGCGAGCTGCTCGCGCGTGGTTCGCAGGGAGATCGCAGCGACCCGCCGACTGGCGGTATCACTGCGAGCACAAAGGCGGCTCTCACCTGCCATGTAGCACGTAACGTAGCATGTAACGTAACCAACCTTCAAGTGAGTACGGCTCGTCCACGGTCATCGCGTACCTGGCTGCGAGCTCCTGAATCCTACTGTGAGCCGCCTTCGTGCTCGCAGTGATACCGCCACTCGGCGGGTCTCCCTGCGAACCACGCGTGAGCAGCTCGCAGCGGGCTCGTGCCTATGTACTCACTTGATACAGTATCTGACACATTACATGCTACACGACTAGATGATTATCCAGCTTAATAATATAGTTCTTGCAACTCACGAAGGCGAGTGAGCTTTACTTGTGTGTCTGCGTGTACATGCACATAACGATAGTGTAATGTCTACCAAAACTTTGTGATTTTAGCACTTTCATTAGAATTTTCACAAATTGCTTTTCCTACTAACTTGATAAAATAATCGAAATGCCTAAGGTGGGAATCGAACCCACGAACTTTCGCTTGCCACTGCTCTGATTGTAATTTTCAGTGTAACTGTTAGGGCCAGCGTCGTCGTTTGATCAATTTCTAAGCTAAAAACTTTTAATAACTAAAAATAAGTATAAAATGTATTTGTCCAATTAAATAAAAGGCCTTTGTTTATTTTGTTATTTATTAAATTAGAAGTACAGATACAAAATATAAAGTTAAATGTGACAATAACTCGTTTTTCTCAGCTGGCTTTAGTGTAGTAGTAGTACTGGTATCCTCTCGTGCTTGTGGCAGAAACGGTTTCCTGTCGACACCTGAAACAAACAAAAATTAAACGTTAAAACTTTATAAAAATAATAATTAGGAAACTAGACAACATGTTTTGCCTAGTGTCCACGGAGGCGAGCTTCATTCATAAGGCTGATTTACACGTGTTAAGTAGATAAGTAGGTAACTAAATTTTAACTTTATTTTTCTGTTAAGTTGGTGGGCGGGGCTTGTCACTTGATACGTTTTGACAAGCAGTGTCATAGTAAACAAGAGCTTGACGTTTGGAATTAAGTTAAAATTTAGTTACGATGCAATTTGATCACTTAAAACTAAGTTAAATACTTAACTACTTAATACGTGTAAATCAGCCTATAAACGCGTATTCGTAAGTGTAAAACTACGAATATGCGTCTATGAAGCCACGCCTCCGTGCACAGAATTAAAACACTTACATACTTACTAAATAATAAATGCTTATTCAAATTACAGGCGTGACGAAGCGCTGCAGTACCGTCACTACTAGTTTTCATAGAATTTCTAGAGGCGCAGTCGTAGTACCACTACCATCACAAACGCTACGTGTGTTGCGCTTATAGAAATTGTATGAAAACTAGTAGTTGCCACTGTAGCACTTGCTCGCGTCTCTTAATTTGAAGGCGCTATTAGTGTACAAATAAATAAAATACTAAAGAAAAAAATCCTCACTCACCTTATATGCCAGCTGCTGCATCTTAAAGATATTTCTTCTTGGAGTGTTTGAAGGACGTCATCTACGAGTATTAGTATGGTGAATGAACGGGGGGTCAGTGGGCAGCCTTGTTTTACTCCCTTCCCTTTGGTGGCGAACCTGGTTAGCTGCCTTTGATATACATAATGTGGATTTATTCATGCAAGCTTTGGTCTTAAACTATGGTCAGGGTTTTATTGGTTCTGGATGCAAGAATATCTTTAAGGGCGTTTAAGTCTACAATGTTGAAGACTTTTTCCATCTGCCCTCTCGCTGAAGAAAGTTGGCGTATATTCTGTATCCGGTAACATACGTCTGTAGTCACTGATGCACTGTGGATTCTGTTTTTTCGGTATTGTGACTTGTACGGCCCGAGTCCAAGCTTCCGGGATTATAAATAAATAAATAAATAAATAAATAAACCTTTATTGTCACCATAACAAAAAAATACAACTTTAACACAGCTTAACAATTAAAAATAAGGTGACAAGGGCATCCGGCTCAGCGTAAGCTGTACGGCACTAGGTCCATGCAGCGCTGGTTTTCAGCCGGTGCCAGTCTCCTGCACAGTAATACAGCGTACATAGGTAGGTGCAGTGATATAAAAAAGAGGAACAAGATTAAAATAAAAAACCACACATTTTTCATCACCAGTCACTAAGCCTCTCCCACACCGTCACACCGTCAGCTCGTTAAAACAAAATCAAAAACAAAGGAAGAATAATTACCTATATGCGACTTCGTTCAAAGTTAATTGTTTTTTAATAAGCGATTCCTTCATGGAAGCTTTAAAACTTAGCAAACAATCTTTGCTTCGTATGGGTGGAGGAAGATTGTTCCAGATCTTTGATGCCGCATATTTAAAAGAACCTTTAAAGCCTTGTGTCCTGTGTATGTTGTGTTTTGTTATGTTGTTATGTAAATGTTACCATGTGTGTTAGGTAAATGGGTTAGGTTAATGGGTAGGTACCTACTTGTAATTACTTTTATAAAAAAACACTGTTTAAAAAACAACACATCGTCCGTTTATTACTGTGGCACATTCGCGACACCCCCGACTTTTGCATATCGAGCGCATACCGAGATTTGAATTTCGAAGGAAAGCTCGCGTTTCGTCCGTTTATATGAAGTTACAATACTGTATGATAGTATTACCGTGGTTGTGTTTTGTTATGTTGTGTTTAAGTCTACAGTGTTGAAGAATTTTTCCATGTGTGTTTCTGTGTTCTAGGAATGCTGCTTGATAGTTGTTTTTTTTGGTTTTATTTTTAATTTTTTAAATTTTTTTGTTGTTTTTCTTTTGTTTCTTTTTTTGTTTTTTTTTTTTGTTTTTCTTGTTTTTTTTTTATTTTTTTTACCAAATCTTTGGCTCTATTTGTCTAAGCGGTTAAGAAGAAAGTTGGCGTTTATTCTGTATCCGGTAGAACATACGTCTGTAGTCACTGATGCACTGTGGATTCTGTTTTTTCGGTATTGTGACTTGTACGGCCCGAGTCCAAGCTTCCGGGATTATGTTGTGTTTTGTTATGTTGTGTTGTTAGCTATAGCTTTGAACAGTTCGGTTACTACTTGATCTGTATCTGGCGGGGTTACACTCTTCAAACTTTATACAGGGTGTCCCAAAAAGTAGTGTCAAGCCGAAGCCCAGAGGTAGAGCATCACTAGGGCTATCCAAATCACCCCCATGTGTGTTCCGCGATTTTTGATAAAGATAAAAATTCTGAGGCTCGGATACTCTTGCTGAACGTTTCTGAACCTCGTGCAACAGAAAGAGGAAATTTATTAGAAACTGGAGGCGAACCACCAGCACCTCCACCACCACACAATGGAGCCATAACCATGGTTGAAGAGGTATTATTATGATATTTTCTCTAAATAAATGTTTCAAAAACCATCAAGTACTCCTCAACTGTTTTTTATTTTTAAGGCTGCACCTATTATATTTGCGAGTTGAAAAACTCTTTTGATAGTGACGGAACCATACTAGATGCAATTAGCAACAGTTGTTCTATGTACTATTTTATGAATTAAAAAATTAATGATGACAATGTCTTGTTCATCCTTAATTTAATGTTATGCTGATAACATTGTTAATGTAAGTTTTTTTTAGATATATTGGATACAGAAAATATAAAAGATACCAAATTAAATATCATGAGTTCTGAAGAGCAGGAAGACGGCAAAGTCTTTGAAAATAACCACTTTCAAGTCGAAGATTTGCAAAGTACAGGTATTAAGATATACCTACTATTTGTCGTTTAATACAAATTATTAAAAAAATAACTTAACCTCTCCTATGCTTTGTCTCAGATCTGTGAAACCTCCGTCAACTGCTATGTCTCAGATCTAAGACAAGACTACTTTGTCATTTTGAAACATCATTTGAAAACCGTAGCAGTTGGCGGGTGCAGTTTTGCGCGGCTCAATAGCACGCCAAAGGTTAATGCTTGCTCAGATGGCATACCTTATTTAGCAACAATGACCAAGACTGCAGATCGGGAACGTAAACCCACAGACTATATTCGTCGAGAGGCTGTGATAAGAATCTAACATTTAGAAAAATATGGAAATGAAAATATTGAAAACCGGGTACCTTATGAACCGAACAAGTCTAGTGTTTTTTATTAATTAATAAAAATAAAGTACAACACTGTATAATAATGTTTCTCTCTAATGTTACAGTTAGAAGTAGAGCAAATTATAAAAACAACAGCATTATTAGAGCAAGAAAGACAGAAAACATTATTAGAAACCGCTAAATTTGAGTTAGAGGAAATAAAAGTCTTGAAAAACAAGGAAGTAAAATATGGTCGTTAAAAATAAAAATATTTGTTGTAGCGCGCATCCGAAGTTCATTCCGGAAGGTTGGCTAACCGCCCGCGATTCGTTCCTATTATGTTGTCTGCACCGACAAAGCCACGGCCAATAGGAGCGCTTCCCGCCGACGCGCCGGCATCGGACCGCCACCATTTTTAGAACAGTAAGCCGTACGAACGAAGTCGTTACGCATTGACTAGGCTGTTTTAACGCTAACATTGCTTGCCATATTGTAAACTTGTGTCATTTGTCAAATAAATAATTGGTGTTTTCTGAATTAAACGAACGTTACATAGTTTAATTTACGGATTTTTATTTATAAAAACATTATGCATATTTTATGTGTACCTATATGAATTATGTGGGTAGTATGCAGGTAGTAAAGACTGATTTACACGTATTAACCCTATTAATTAATCACCTTACCACTGCGACGTGTTTAGTTACGACGTTAGTTTGGCGAAGAGAAAAATAGCAAGCAAAAACACAGGAAGACCAAGGAAAGTTGCAAAATGTAATAAAATAATGTTTTGAGTCAATAACATCTACTGACTGGAATAAATACACTGATCATGTTATAAATGTTGCGAATCAGTATAAACTTAAGGATGGTATTGTCGAAAAAGAGCTTGAGAAATTTATAATAAATTATGTTAGAGAAAATAGCTGCAGCGTAGAAAGCAGTGATACTAATTCAGTATATTCAGACATAGAGTACTTGGAATCAGATTTTGGTTATGATTCGTAACACCAATAAAAGTTGAAACGATTCGAAGTATAAACGGTGTTGTCAGCCGCAGATTTTTTAAAATTGCCGCCATTTCTTGTGGACAGCTTTCGTTGGTCAGACTCTAGTTTGTAAGTTTTGCAAGGTAATCGAGTCGCACTTTGCCCCTTTATAGGGCTATTGTGCACGATTTGTGATTTATTCTTTCTACACCAACCAACCCAGATCCCCCAGAAATCTAGGCCGCTACAGGCTTCTTGCAGCAGTTGAGCTCGTTGATCTGCTGCGCCTATAGGTATTTATATGTTTCCAGATACACTAAGCACGGCAGCGGGCGCCGCTCCTGGGCCCAGCGCCGCCGCCGCCGCCGCCGCGCTGGCCGAGACTTTACCGCGCTCGGGCCGCCTGCGCGCAGAAGCGCTGAAACGATTGGCGCAGCTGGCGCAAGTGGCGCTCTCGCGGTTAGAAACTGACAACCCGCTGCATTTGTAAGTTCACTTGAGCTTTTTTTTCAAAGCGAGCGTCTATAGCGTCTGTGGCACCGCGACTGTGACGCCGCGACAGAGCGACAAATAAATGTTCTATACCAAGGCTGCTCAACCTTTTGAAGAGTCGGGCCAAGCGGTGGATTCAGTCCTTAACAACGGGCCACCTACATTTTTGACAGCTAACTTCAGAGAGATCTTAAAGTTTGTACTGTGCTCGGCGGGATTTTTTATTTGGTGCGTTTTTTTCAAACTGTACATGCGCGGGCCACTTAAAATTCTTTTGGGGGCCACACTGTGGCCCGCGTGCCTGGAGTTGAGCAGCCTTGTTCTATACAAATGTATGAAATTCTAGGGAACGTCATTCGAACGCAGCGACACTGTCGCGGTAAGTTAGTGGCACTAAATACCAAAGCTAAAGACGCTGCGTCTGTGACGCTTAGTTCGAAAGGCTACCTTTATTCGAGTAATTTAGTAGAGTGACTCGCCTTTAGCAACGTGTCATTCCTTAAACTTAAACCGCTGATTTCACTTTGTATAAATAACCGAACTCTCCGGTCACACTTTAGTCTTAAGTTGTACTTCATTGTAACAACATAAATAAAGGTGGAAGTCAAAAACAAAACACAACAAAGTAACACGCGCCCACCGAGCCCCTCGACGGTTTCATCGGCACTTTGGAGGCATTTAATGATTGCGCTAACGTGAGTGACGCTAACGCCTTACGTGGTCTGTCGATGCTTCTTACACACGACGCAGCCACGTGGTGGAGAGAGTCAAGTCTACGATCATTTCGTGGAGCAGCGCCCCAAGATTCCACAGGATATACAGAGAGTTGTTCTCGAAACTTCAACAGCCACGGGAGAGAACTGAGCTGTACATAGCTAAAGCACGCGCTCACCTAGCATGAAGACCTCAGCGAAAAAGTACAACTCGAAATGGTCTACGGCTTACTTCATGTACGAGTTCGAGAACACATACGGAGAGAAGTGGATAAATTTGAAACGCTGCTAAGAGAAGCAACAGTGATAAAACTCGTTTTTGCGTGTATTGTAAACATCATAGACATACACGTGATGATTATCGTCGACTTGCGTCGAGGAAAGACGAGTGTCTAAGTCGTTTTCTGCTATGGACGCGAAGAGAGGAGTTCTTCAGAACCTACTTCTTAATTAAATAAATTTGTGGCATTGTCGCAAACTGAAAGCAAATAAAAGATACGGTTGAACAGCAAAAAGGTCGTCGCAAAGATACCGTTGATCATCACCGTCGACAGGGAAAATTGCGTTGGTCAAAAATTGACAAAAGAAAAAATAAAATTATCGGAACAAACATTCAATCTCAAGCGTGCATTATTATCAACAATGTGCTAATGTTTTTGACTGAATTAAAATAAGATCCCAAAAATTTTAAGACGTCAATTTCAAGTGACTATACAGCCAAGATTTGTATTGAAAAAGTGAGAAGACATCGCCCAAATAAATGTTATGAGCTGACTGCGCGGAGAGTTTTTTGAGTATGTCAAAGGTGACAGACCCAACTGAAAAATGCTTATACATAATAAGCAAGATGGACTCTCAAGCCCTCAGAGAGGTAAGAGGTCTGTTAACTTATTTTAATTGTATCATGTTAGCTTAAGTATTGAATAACTTAGCTTTATTAGTTTATTATGATTGTGATAATTAACCTGGTCAGTTGTTTTAATATTATTTGTAATATAAACCTTAGAATAGGTAAGGGACCTTATAATCGACCTCTCAGTCGTCACAGCGGGACAATACGAATAGCTGAAGAAGAGGATAGTAAAAAGGTTCAGCGAATCCCAGACCGTGAAAACTCAGCGGCTTCTAGAAGAAGAGGAGATTGGTGACCGTACGCCGTCATCGTTCTTGCGGCACCTTAAATCGCTAGCTGGCAGCGCGGTCTGAAGACGTGTTGCGCGTTATTTGAAAGAAAGAAAGAAAAATACATTTATTACAATGGACATCACATAAATAGATACATAACAATGGCACATAATAATAAAAGAAAAACAAACACAAGAATAAACTGAGCAGTGCCACCTACTCAAGAACAGGATGCCACTGCAACGGGACCCTCCCTCAGCATATGCCGTGACCCACGGTAACGAAGGGCGCTGGTTTTCAGTTCATTTGGACGAAGAGCTTACTTAACGACATGTAAGCAGTCGTCGTGGATACGCCACTCGACACACTTGAAAACGTTAGGCTACGGTGCACGAGGCCATCGCCTCCAGTAGCAGCGAAAACGTTACGGAAACGTTACGTTACGTTACGTGTGGAGATCACACACGTCACTGACGAACGTTTTCGCCCGCTTGAAGAGAACATGTCGCTTCTCATAAAGAATATGCAACAGGCGCAAGTAACTGAGGTAGATACGAGAAGTAGCAGGCCACGCGATCGTTCAAACTTACGCTCGCAAACATAATCTCGGTCTAGAACTAGGCCGGCGGTCTGACTGTGTTGGAACCTTGGAACCATCACCACTATGGTACGCAAGCAAGGAAATGCATAGAACCCTTCTCTTACAAACCACAGCAGGGAAACGCCAGCGGGAGTCATTAACGGAGGATGACGCAATTTCCCATACACCTACACGCCGCATCTTCGTTACTGATAAGGCGAGTAATGCCTTTGCCTATGGATTAATTGCCGCCAACGAAACTCCAATAACTACGTATGGTACTATTTGCACATATTGCATTGACCTTAAACATCGTGCTTCGAAGAGACATCCCATGGATATTTGTGGTTGCGGATGTACAGAAACCAATAATCGGTGTTGATTTTCTCGCTCATTACGATCTTATGGTAGATGCGAAAAATAAGAGGTTAGTAGACGCGATCTTGCGGTCAATGGACATGCAGCTGGGTGTGAGCAACTCACTGTGAAAACATTAAGTGGTAGGTACATCACCTTACCTCGATCTGCTAGCCAAGTACGTTGAGATAACAAGACCAGACGGAACTATGCAAGAGATACAGCATGGGAGTACACTAATGGTGGACCAACTTGTCCACGCGAAAACATTTGCCAGGCTCCACCGGTGATAAATAATGATTTCAATAAGTGAATAGTGTCATCATTTTATTATAATGGGGAGTAAAAAAAAATGTACTCAATAATCTTCATTATTAAGACGTTTACGTTAGTCTTTTATGTAACCTTATTATAATTATTATTTTTATAAATGTTGGTGGGGGATAGGGGAATGCCAGATGAATGGGGCCATGAAGTTACACGGCTGCCGCCACAACATTGTCAGTACAATCCCATGAAATAATTAATATGGGCGCAACTAAAAGAAGAACTGGTCAGCAAAAGCACCCCATTTAAAATTGCTGACGTGAAACAATTGATTCACACAGCCATCGAAAACGTGAATGTGGAACATTTATAATTTGACAAACGTAAAATTGATAGTTTTGCCATCAAACAATGACTAAATATCTATCTATTCCTTGCCTGGAAGGGCCAACGCTGTTAATTATGTGGAGCTGTTGCAGGAATCAATTGCTACCGTGAGAACTTTACCGGCATATCGTCTACGCCTTATCTTAAATGATCAAAATGCCTACGTATCTAATATATCGTGGATAATATTTATTTTTACAACGTATATTTATTTTGCGTTAAAACAAGTACAGAGCTTCGAGTATCTGGGACAAAGAAGTTTTAGATTCAGTGAGAAAAACTGAGGATCAAGAGCAAGGAGATGAAGAAGATTAGACAGATGAGCCTGAGCCTCTGCCGAGCATTAAGGAAGTTCTGGAAGCAGCTGAATTATTGGAAAAATATTTCCCTTTTTACCAAGATATCTCAATATCGCAAGATATGAATAAAATAATTAAAAAAATACAACAAAATTACTGGTGCAGCAAAAGACGTCAAACAAAAATAAAAACATAAGCTGTCTGAGAATCCAACCAACGACGAGGTCAGAGAAATTATTATAAAAATGCGAAATGGCACTGACCAAGTAGTAACTGAACTGTTCAAAGCAATACCTAATCAACTGCTTAAAGCCCTAAGAGGCCACCTACATAAAGCCTGAAATTATAATATAATCCCGGAAGCTTGAACTCCGACTGTACAAGTCCCAATACCGAAAAAACAGAATCCACAGTGCATCAGTGACTACAGACGAATTTTGATATGTAATACTGGATACAGAATATACGACAACTTTCTTCTTAATCACTTAGATAAAGAGATCCAAAGCCTTGATAACTATCAAACAGCATTTCTAGAACGCAGATCCACAGATGAACACATCTTTACGCTCCGAAGAATTCTTGACGAAAAGTGGAGTGAGGGCACAACAACGTACGTCATGGCAATTGACATGGAAAAGGCCTTCGACACTGTAGGCTTAAACGCCCTTAAAGAAATTCTTGCGTCCAGAACCAATAAAACCCTGACCAATAGGATTAGTAAAGCTTGCATGAATGAATCCACATGCATCAAATGGTACGGACAGCAAATCAGATTTGTTACCAAAGGGAAGGGAGTAAAACAAGGCTGCCCACTGTCCCCTCGTTTATTCACCATACTAATAGATGACGTCCTTCAAACACTGCAAGAAGAAATACCAATACTACGACTAAACCAAGACACACATTACGTTGCCCATCTACTACTATCAAACTATCAAACAGCATTTCTAGAACGCAGATCCACAGATGAACACATCTTTACGCTCCGAAGAATTCTTGACGAAAAGTGGAGAGAGGGCACAACAACGTACGTCATGGCAATTGACTTGGAAAAAGCCTTCGACACTGTAGACTTAAACGCCCTTAAAGATATTCTTGCGTCCAGAACCAATAAAACCCTGACCAATAGGATTATTAAAGCTTGCATGAATGAATCCACATGCATCAAATGTAATGTTACGGGCAGCAAACCAGGTGCGTACCATACTATTTACCATACCATACTATTAAATTAAACTGAGGATCAAGAGCAAGGAGCTGAAAAAGATGAGACAGATGAGCCGAGCCTCTGCCGAGCATTAAGGAAGCTCTGGAAGCAGCTGAATTATTGGAAAATTATTTCCTTTATCACCAAGATGTCTCAATATCGCAAGATATGAATAAAATAAGTAAAAAAATACAACAAAAGTACTGGTGCAGCAAAAGACGTCAAACAAGAATAATATTAGTAAAATATAAAAAATAAGCTGTCTGAGGATCCAATCAACGACGAAGTCAGAGAAAATATTATAAAATGCGAAATATGGCACTGACCAAGTAGTAACTGAACTCTTCAAAGCAATACCTAATCAACTGCTTGAAGCCCTAACAGAACACCTACATAACGCCTGGAATTATAATATAATCCCGGAAGCTTGGACTCGGACCGTACAAGTCCCAATACCGAAAAAACAGAATCCACAGTGCATCAGTGACTACAGACGTATTTTGATATGTAATACTGGATACAGAATATACGCCAACTTTCTTCTTAATCGATTAGACAAAGAGATCCAAAGCCTTGATTATCAAACAGCATTTCTGGAACACAGATCCACAGATGAACACATCTTTACGCTCCGAAGAATTCTTGACGAAAAGTGGAGAGGGCACAACAACGTTCGTCATGGCAATTGACTTGGAAAAAGCCTTCGACACAGTTGATTTAAATGCCCTTAAAGAAATTCTTGCGTCCAGAACCAATAAAGCCCTGACCAATAGGATTATCAAAGCACGCATGAATGAATCCACATGGATCAAATGGTACGGACAGCAAACCAGATTTGTTACCAAAGGGAAGGGAGTAAAACAAGGCTGCCCACTGTCCCCTCGTTTATTCACCATACTAATAGATGACGTCCTTCAAACACTGCAAAAAGAAATACCAATACTACGACTAAACCAAGACTCACACATTACGTTGCCCATCTGCCTATCGTTTGCTGACGACCTGATCATACTAGGGACGAAACCTAGTCAAATGAAATCAATCTTCAAAAGTCTCAAAGATCTCCTACTAATAGTGGGACTAAAAATCAACGACACGAAAACAAAAATCCTCATCCGAGATCCAATCAATCCACCAAACCTCACACGGTTCATTAGTATAGCCGAGAGAATAAATATACAGCCAGCGAAAGAAATGAAATATCTAGGGCCCTGGATAACATCTGGACACAGCAGAAAGGATACAATAAAAGCCCGCTGCAAGCAAGGGGTTAAAAACTCTAAAACACTTATATCCTTCATAAAGAAAACCAAAATGCAATGGGAAACGGCCAGGCTACTATACAAAATGATCATAGAACCAACCATGACATATGGTATAAAGGCCGCATCCATTACCAAAGCAAACCGCTCAATGTTTAGGAAATACGAACGTGTTATTCGGAAAGACATGTTGAGCTATAGCAAAAATCCCCCAAAAAATAAAAAAGTGCACCAACTTCTGCAAGGCAAAACAATATCTAAGAGCATCAAGTTCCTCAGAATTTGCTATTACGGCCATGTTTTGCGACGACCCGAACCACATATCCTTCACAGTGCTATGAGATTTAAAGCAAGAAGATTAAAGATTGACAGGCCCATATACACCTGGAAAGACACATTAAAGCAAGACTTAAAATACTACCGAAGAACACGAAATGAGTGGACTCAATTAGCACTAGACAAAAAAGAAATAAGAAAAGCAGCACAGGAAATATTCAATCTTGAAGAGACAGACATCGAAGAAGACGTCCAAAATCCAGAACCGCAGCCATTGATGGAACAATGAACCAAGAAAAGCAGCTGTACAAACCAATAACAAGTAGGCAACCACACCAAAGGCCAGACTGCCCACCTCATCGCACCAACGCTCAGTCCTATCAACAATAAACCCGTCTTTACCTATTTTCCTAGACCAGGCTCAGGATGCATATCTACTTGGTTGTGGTCGACCGGTTGCGGTTTAAAGACGCAGCGGCTAGTCGGCCGTCCTCTCCCATCCCAGAGCGTGTCCTTCCTTAAAATTGTGCCTACTGGTATGCCGGTTTGACCGGAGCAGGCCTCGTCCTGGCTGGGTGAGCACTATCGTATCGTAACTTAGAAAAAATACATATTACTGTATAAACGCATGAAGCAACTTCGCCTGAAGGTTCAGGAGCAATTTACGCATCAAGAGATTTGGGAGTAGATCCTAGTAAACTCTCAGCTCTTAGTAATGCATTGCGGACCGATCTTAGTAATTGAAATAAAAAAGAGAAAAAGCTCTCAGTGACAACAATAATATCATCAGGAGCAGATACAATTTACGGGTCAAGCTGAGTAGGCCCTAGTTAGTACTTTACCAAAAGACTTAAGAGCAGGTCTTAGTAATGAATTGAGAACCGATCTTCCGAATTGAAAAAAAAAGAACGACAAAATACAGTAGAATCTTGATAACTCGAACCTTGTTAAGTCGTAATCCTCAGTAAATCGAAAAAATATGCTATTCCCTTCCGCCGAACCCCGAACGACGCAGTAACTCGAATTTTTTAGACTCAGTATCTCGAACAATAAGTTATTTCCCTGTGAGGCATTACTCGTACATTTTAATACTCAGTAACTCGAACTGCAAATACCTACCTCAGTAAGTCGAAGTTCATAAAATATAATGATTTCTTACTCGGGATTCCCGGAGCTCAACCAGCAATTTATAGAAAACTAATAATGAGTGTTAACTCAAAAAACTTTTAACTAAGAAAAATTACATATTACTGTATAAACGCATCAAGTAACTTCGCCTGAAGGTTCAGGAGCAATTTACGCATCAAGAGATTTGGGAATAGATCCTAGTAAACTCTCAGCTCTTAGTAATGCATTGCGGACCGATCTTAGTAATTGAAATAATAATGAGAAGAAGCTCTCAGTGACAATAATAATGTCATCGGGAGCAGATACAATTTACGGGTCAAGCTGAGTAGGCCCTAGTTAGTACTTTACCAAAAGACTTAGAGCAGGTCTTAGTAATGAATTGGGAACCGATCTTTTAAATTGAAAAAAGAAAAAGAACGACAAAATACGTGGTAGCCGAAGGCTTTTAATCGTCTCGCTGAACCTCGCAAGAAATGATCTTGATCCTGACGTCATTAAGAAAACAAAAATGCATATTACTGCATAAATGCATCAAGCAATAAAAAAACGAATAATGAGTGTTAACTCAATAAACTTTTAACTTAGAAAAAATACATATTACTGTATAAACGCATCAAGCAACTTCGCCAGAAGGTTCAGGAGCAATTTACGCATCAAGAGATTTGGGAGCAGATACTAGTACTTTACCAAAAGACTTAGAGCAGGTCTTAGTAATGAATTGGGAACCGATCCTCTGAATTGAAAAAAAAAAGAACGACAAAATACGTGGTAGCCGAAGGCTTTTAATCGTCTCGCCGAACCTCGCAAGAAATGATAAAAACTCCATGCAAATAGCGAGTAAAAACTAAATTTCTAAATTAAGATAACTAAAATGCATATTACTGCATAAACGCATTAAGCAATAAAAAAAAAACGAGTAATGAGTGTTAAATCAATAAATTTTTAACTTAGAAAAAATACATATTACTGTATAAACGCATCAAGCAACTTCGCCAGAAGGTTCAGGAGCAATTTACGGGTCAAGAGATTTGGGAATAGATCCTAGTAATCTCTCAGCTCTTAGTAATGCATTGCGGACCGATCTTAGTAATTGAAATAATAATGAGAAGAAGCTCTCAGTGACAATAATAATATCATCAGGAGCAGATACAATTTACGGGTCAAGCTGAGTAGGCCCTAGTTAGTACTTTACCAAAAGACTTAAGAGCCGGTCTTAGTAATTAATTGGGAACCGATCATCTGAATTGAAAAAAAAAAGAACGACAAAATAATTGTACGTGGTAGCCGAAGGCTTTTAATCGTCTCGCCGAACCTCGCAAGAAATGATCTTGATCCTGATGTTATTAAGAAAATAAAAATGCATTTACTGCATAAACGCATTATGCAATAAAAAAACTAATAATGTGTGTTAACTTAATAAACTTTTAACTTAGAAAAAATACATATTACTGTATAAACGCATCAAGCAACTTCGCCTGAAGGTTCAGGAGCAATTTACACGTCAAGAGATTTGGGAGCAGATCCTAGTACTTTACCAAAAGACTTAGAGCAGGTCTTAGTAATGAATTGGGAACCGATCATTTGAATTGAAAAAATAAGCACGACAAAATACGTAGTAGCCGAAGGCTTTAAATCGTCTCGCCGAATCTCGCAAGAAATAAAAACTCGATGCAAATAGCGAGTAAAAACTCAGTTTTTTAAATTCTGAATTAAGAAAACTAAAATGCATGTTACTGCATAAACGCATCAAACAATAAAAATACTAATAATAAGTGTTAACTCAATAAACTTTTAACTTAGAAAAAATACATATTACTGTATAAACGCATCAAGCAATTTACGCATCAAGAGATTTGATAGAAACCATATAACCAACAATATTCAGGAGCAGGTGGAATTTACATGTGAAGAGATTTGGAAAAAGATCCTAGTAATTTATCAACCTTTCTTAGATATTACCACTTGCTAATATATGGTTTTAAGATTTGAAAGGTAGAAAAGTCATTCCCCAAGAGATTCATCATTTGTACGTTAAACAAATTCAATGTGTTTTGTTTTGTTACAGAAAAGCATTGGATCAAGCCCGCTCGGTTATAGCAGAGGCGCGCGCCATGGAGTAAAATTGTGTCCGAATGCTCGAGTTTGACTCGCATGGCGGATCCTCTTCAGAGATGTAAGCTGCTGTATACAGGGTGTTAGGTAAATGGGTATATGAGCCGACACTAGCCCATGTTAACATGGTCATATAAATGGTATGGTGAAGTCAGAAATTTGATATCATCATTTTATTGTTTTTAATTTTCATACAAAATAAATTTTAAAAATCGGATTTGTATGAAAATTAAATTAATTAAAATGATGATATCAATTTTCTGACTTCACCATACCATTTATATGACCATGTTAACATGGGCTAGTGTCGGCTCATATACCCATTTACCTAACACCCTGTATAAATTGGTATTGAAATAATCAAACCATAACATTGACTTAACAAAATGACAGTAAATAATAATAATCTCCGTCATGAAGTTTACAAAGATACCGTGACTGAAAAACAGACAAGTTTTCTTCCAAGTAGATTTGGATAGTATTGAATTATTTATTCGAAGTTACAGCACAGCTAGAAGTTGGTTTTGAATATTAACGAATTACACACAACTTCCAATAGCCCTTAAATTAACTTTAAGCTTCAGCAGCTTTGTCGTTGTTGATAAGTGAATGAAAGGATTGTTAGAATGAGTCGGGACAATCTTGAGACTAGCCCCCTTATTAATACAAGTTACTTACACGCTCATTGAACAGTGTTTTATAGTTCAGTATGGAAACGTCATTTTAAAACAGTGTTCAACAAGCGTGTAACTTTTTATTAGTTAGGGGTTACTGTCAAATAGTCTTGATTATATCCCATTTGAAGTACTATTTATTAACCGTAAGAAGATATGAGCTTTTATATGATATCTCACAGCAATATTGAAAAAAATTTCATTGGACCACGAATTAAAAGTAATTTTGTTATAGCCAATCGATTTTGAAAGGCTTCAATTGTCATGATTGTTACAAAATCAAAAACTAACAAGATGTTTGCACAGCGTCTTTTTCTAACGCTAAGAAATGATGAATTGGAACGTTATTTCCTCTATCATAGAGGAACTACTTACACAAATCAAGTGTAATGAATTAAAATATTTTGCACCTCAGCAGAATTGATAGGAAATGTTTGTGAACCCGATTTGAGCGCTATGTGAATGATAATCCGATAGCTAGTTATAATGTATACCATTGTATATAAGCAACGTGAAATGGCTTCTTGTGTGAGGGATAAATAAATGATAATTTTTTAATGTCTGTTTTATTTAAACCAAGTATTCATCGTTTTCATCAGTCACACAGCCCAAGTATGTACATTATGTACAAAAATATTAGCCGATGCCAATAAATAAATTCATGAGAATCAAATGACACAGATGCAAAATGCACGCACTAATTTAATGCGTCACCCAAAACATCAGATTTAAAAAAGTGAAATAAGAAAAAATCAATAGAAACTCCTCTACGCACTTCAGCGTACAATAATGCATTAAAAACAACAGAAACCCGACAAGAGGAAACAATCTCAAAAACACTAATTGAGAATACCAAAATGCAACGGAAAACGAGTTTTGCACAAATTATAATTATTTCGGTAATCATATTACCTAAAAACATTAACGACCACAAGTTATTTAATTGAAATTTATCATGTTGTAAGGTATTTATATTACTTCATTATTCAGTTAAGCGAGCCGTTAAAATTCGATAAACTTTCTCCAATATTACGTTATCAACAAAACCTCACCAAAAACTCTCTCGTGAGTATTTAAACTGTAAGTTCAAAAGAAAACCACATGAAAAAGACATTTCAGTGAACCACGAAAAACAACAACGAAGACAACGGAACTTCAGTGTAACAGAGACAGAGACACTATTTAGTTCCAACCATTTATCACTGAACTTTGCATGTTACAAAAGATTGTGTGTGAAGAACTAAACGAAGTTTAGTAAAGAAGAACTTGTTTTGATATGCCACATTCTTTATTCACCAGCATTTTGTGGTAACTCAAAGTAGTCCATGGTAGGAAATGCTATTATTGCATAGGCATGAAACAAGAAACAAAGACCACAGGGAGCAATCAAAAGATGATCAGAAACGTGGTGTGGGTGCCCTCATAATATCTGGAGCTGACTTGAAGGACAGTTTGAACAATGTCGAACTCCGTCGTATTTTCTTCGTTTTTATGAACATGTTGGCTGATTCCCAACTCCTGATGTGTTTTCTTCATTTCTTGAAGAAAGATTTTCATTAATCCGCTGATGAGACTCAGCGTTGATTGTGGTAGGTATAGATTTCACTCAGCTTTTTTGACACGTCTTCTAAACTACGTTTATCACTTTGGTTTTGTTGCACTATTTAATTTTCTACTGGATACTTGATTTTCTTGGCGGGACAGGCATGGTGCAGCTCTTGAAACTGTTTCTTCTTCGAAGTGAAGTAGTTGGCAGCAGCATTTTTTCACTATTGTCAAGTATGTATTTGTCTGAAGTGCAATATGCACTGGAGGAATTTCGAAACTTTTTTTAGCGAACTTTAACTTAGCGATCACGTTCCACCCAAGAAGTTCCCGAAGACATGTTGCTAGTGCGCTGCCCAAATTGTAACTGACACAACCAGCCGCCTCAGAAGCATAAGCTAGTGCCTGACTCATGATGACTCACCACGCCGCCTGGGGTCCCTATTCAGGTACCTAGCTGCCTGCGCGCCGTGCTTCTTTGATAACATTCCTTTGAAATAAGGATCTTTAAACAAAAGAATTTAAGCTTTCTATTTTTTTGTTATGGGTCAGAATATTGCCCATGTGTTATTTTAGTGTTTGTCCATCTATTGTATTACAAAATTTTAGAGGGAGTGTTAAGAAACAATGGGTGTAAGTGTAACTTCGAAACAAAGTAATTTTCAAATAATGTTACAAAACTTTATTTTTCTTTACTTAGTTATAAATGTATTTTATGGGGCAAGTAAAACACATGTTTCCTAGCTTGTGGGAGTAAGCTATACCTGAATAAAAATGTGGGCCATTTACTGATCGAATATAAATAATTTATTTATTAAGTTCAAATTTTCCACTACTGAAAACAAGATGATTGGGAGTTTTTAATTCTAGCTTAGCATTGATTTATGATTGTTCATAAAGCTTTCTTAATGACATCACCGATCAAAGAGCAAGGTATTTATTTCGTTATTGGCTAATAAAGTAACGCGTAACGTAACCATTACTTAAAAAACTAATAAAAACCTTAATTACTGCACTAAAACTCGATGCGATTCCGCCGTTTCGTTTAGGAGTTCCTATGGCCACCTTCCAGTCCCATCATCAGACCAGTTCGATGGTACTATAATATTGTATTGTCATCTAATCGACATAAAGCCAAGTTTCATAATGATACAAGAATTAGAAATACATAGTTACGACGACCTAATAAAAGCGTGTTAATGAGGAGCTTCTTTATATTTTTGACTGAGAGGTTGCCAAATTAAGCTAAATATTAAATACGGAATCGCAATACTGAGTAAAGGTAAACAATAAAAAACATACGGGTCGAATTGAGAACCTCCTCCTTTTTTTGAAGTCGGTTGAAAAGAGTGATTTCGTGTCAAAACGATTTATTTCTTTGGTTTTATCCTAAACTTGTGACCCAAGAGGTCTAAAAGCCAAAATCTTACAGTTGGATGTTATTTTACAAACATTATTTCCAGTAGTCCAACAAACAAAGGTCTTGACGAATTTAATACAAGAAAAATATATCACATAGTGTTTAGTGTAGAGAAAGTTAAGTGTTAGCCATCCTTGATTCATTTACGTGGTATTTTTGTGTGGTAAAATTCATATTTAAATGACTTAATTAACTTTTATATTTTTTTCTACAAATAAAATAAAATTAAAGTCATGAAAATAAAAGTATGAAATCTTATGATTATTTTAGACAGGACATAACACTCAGATGAATCATTTACAAAAACAAATCTACATTTATATTAAGCCTCTAAGAAATAACGTTACACACATCACAATAAAATAATGTCAATGAATCCGGATGGCCCAAACCCAGCAAACCCTCTAAATGGCAATAACATAATGAATTACTTACAAATAAAAGGTCTTACGTTTAAGTTATATACACGGCGATTTAATAACTTTTATACAAATAAGTTTACATACTACACTTACCGTGGGACTATAGTCTAACAATAACAGTCATTCGCACGAAAGGAGCAGGCCACGTTTCTTTTATAATAGTAAAGACTAGTATAATGACTCGATTGTCTTTTATTTCTGGGGAAGGTCTTTTGTTTTTTTGGGAAGGGTCTTATCTCTGTCTTTCTATTGTTGGTTCTTTTCTTTATCACTGGTAAATTGTATTTTTCGACTTCTTAGAATTCTGTTCAGGTAATTTTTATGTGTGTGTGGAGATAATATATTTTAGGCATGCGTCAATGAGTTTCAACGCCACAAATATATTTTTAGAAAAACTTCTGTTTGAAAGTATTCTAAGTTAAAGGCGGCCTGCTCCTATCAAGCAAGTGATTTAAAGCAATTTTATTGTGTATTCTACAGGGAGGTGGGTGTTTATATTTGCACCGATTGGTATTGATTTCGAGACACGTATCAAACAGCTCTGTGCAAGGCAAATTAATATACAGTAAAACTAGACAGACTCTTTAGAAATTGCTTATCACAATATTTATTTCAATCCAAGAACTTTGATCTGTTTCGTAGAGATTTTACTACCACAGAGTTGTTTTATACATGAAGATACACAAACTTAAATAAGTCTGGCGAATGATTCTAAAATAAGATTATTGATTTCGAATCTCTCTTACACCGAAATGCTAATGTGAGTGACAGGGATAGAAAGATATAAAATATGGAAAACATGTTATAATGAATGACCCGCAGTGCGTGGTCCAGTCATATTATTATGTCTAGGCAGATAATACAGAACCTTAGAAAATAGCTTTATTTTACAACGTCTTAAAGTTAAATTTCCAATATAAATGTTGAAGCGAATAAATTCAAGTTAATAAATGAGGTAACATGACATAAAAGTTTGCTAATATTATTTAAATTTACTAAAATTACTATAGTTTCGTGACGCCCAGGAAAGAATAAGTTTAAGTTTTCACGCATTAAACTTTAAAAAATACTCTGTTATAAGTTTTGATTGACTTGCCTAAATACAGTGTCATAATTTCTTGAATGTGAAACAGTTGTTAAGACTGTTTCTAGAGTTACTCTGCACAGTTAAGAGGTATTTCACAAAATGTTATCAAGTTTAATAAGCGATTCTCCGAAAAGGATAACAAGTTAAAAAAAAGATAAAAAAAAGCCTTGTAAAGGGTTACATTTAAATTTTATTTGAAATTCGAGAAACGTGCGACTATCTTTTTTGATAACGCTTACTTTAAGCTTGTTACAAAGAAAAGCTTTTCTGAAAACATAAGCCGAGTCGATAAAGCTTGATGCGTGTAAATTCTTTACTATGAGATAGCTAATTTTCAAAATCTTTATACCTTTAGTTCTACTTTATTAATTAGTCTGAGATAAGGACTAAATGCCAAAAGGCAATCTACTAATTAAAACAGAATCATGAATATTTTATCTTTAGCAAGAATTTGTTTATTGTAGGCACCCAAACTATTTCAACTTCAATTTGAAAGTATTACAGGCACATTAACCACCGGCGGTCAATATATAATTAGTTTTATATTTATTTACAGCAGCTTCCAAAAAGTCAAATGCAAAAAAAATACTAATAAATTTTTCTTCGATGTTCTTTTGCATTTGACTGTACATTTAAACCATTGAGTATCACAACCCCCTCCAAATAACAGCTGCCCGACCAACTTGGCTCCTAGCAGACCAACTATTACTATATAATACATACAAATTATCAATTACAAGTACAAATTGTCAGGACGTACCTAAACAATGTCCAAAGTATACGATAAGTTCGGACAAATACAATTGAAGTTATATTACTGTGATGAATGATTTATATAAAAAAGCTAAAGCCCGGTCGCCGAGCACGTAGAATATCGTCCAATGACCCCAAGCTACTTATCCTTATCGTGCGTAATTATATGTAGTGACCGACCGAATATTCGTTTTCGTTTTCGGCCATTTTTGGCCAAAAAATGGACATTCGGCCATATTTTCGTTTTCGGCCAAAAACCAGCCGAAGCTTCGGCCAAACCGAATATCAGAAATACGTGAATAAGATGGGGACGTTTATCGTTTCGATATCTTCGGGAGTGAATCTAATGCACTCATGGTTCCAATCAGACTTGAACGGACGCGTTATTGTCACACTCTTTTGAAGTTTTGAAGTGAGGTTACGTTGTAAAGGGTGTCCAGCGAAAATTTTCCAAGTTCAAAATCGAATACAAATAAAACCAAAGAGTTTTCATTAAGTTTAATTGTTTCAAAATAGAGTCTAATGCGGATTTAAAATACGCCATGAGTCACTGGTCGGGAGCCTACAAAGCGTTCGCAGTTGAGCAATAAGTATTTGAAATGTATTGTCGAATGATCGATGAATGTCTGATACCACAACTGCAACTGCATCCCGGCCAACTACTATCTCAGCAAGAAGGTGTCTCACCACACATGGAGAGTACCTCGATGGAGACACTGAGGACAATTTTTTCTAGCCGCCTCGGTCACCAGATCTCACACCATGCGACTTTTTCTTGTGGGGGGGGGGGGGGATATCTCAAGTCAAAAGTTTTAAATAATTCAGGTTCTGTAAGAAAATATCCGCCGTGAAGTTGCAGGAAAATTATTAGCGCGATTTGCTCTCGCATAGTTGCGAATGTAAGGTTCAGGCTGTGAGAGTGCCTATAGTAAAACGGGCATCATTTAAAAGACATTGCCTATAAAAAAATAAATCCGCATTTTTAAACTCCAGTTTGCATTAGTAATAAATAATAAAAAATCATTAATTTATTTGTATGAATAATTTTTTATGTTGAAAAATTCCTACTGGACACCCTTTACTTCTTCTTCACTTCCCAATATTTCAATATAAACCGGAAATAATATTCTACTAAGAATTCATAATTCAATTTTTTGTGTTTTAATGCCGGTTTTCTAATCAATCCTTATCAAAAACAACTGTCAAACGTCATTATGTTTTTGGTCAAAACATTAACGGTTTTCAAAGTTTTTACATAATTTCAGATTGAAATTTGAGAGTTGAAGGTCATTTTCGTTTTCGTTTTCGGCCGAAAATGGGACTGCAGCCGAAGCTTCGTTTTCGTTTCCGTTTTTGGCTGAAAATCCATATTCGGTCGGACACTAATTATATGCCGTCGTGCTCGCACACTTACTGCGGCCGCCCGTCGCACAGTCAAGCTACCCTTGGGGTCATTGGACGAAATTCTACATGCTCTCTGACCGGACTATAATAACTGATTTTTAAATTGATGGGTTTCATTTAACTTAAGTTTTTAACCTCACCAAAAGTTCCGAGACTTGTAATTAAAAGTGCACAAATGCGGAGCGAGTGATATTACCAAAGTGCTTTTAATAAATGAAACTTACAGGCCTAGTGGACAACTTAGGCGGCATACCCCAGGCTCAGGTATGCTAGACCTGTAGTTAAGTAATAATTTTACAACTAAGCATTTACAATTCTGTGACATTAATCCTAAAGTTCTCAGCGTGAGTATTCGCATGTAATGTAACGTCAATTTGTACAGACATTGCAACGGTAAATAATAGGGTATTGATCTTCCATTGTCATTGCCTTTTTGCCAAATTACAATGCGACTTGAGTTATGTTACATATCACGCGAATATTCCATATGAGACGCCATTTTAGGCTGACGCCAAACGAGCGTAATTTCTGAAGCGTAGCAATCGTTCAAGTTCCAACACATTTTGCGTCGTTGTGAGTCCATACAGAACTTTTGTGTGAACTCGAAGAACGTTTTCGCTCGTTTATCCTTAGCCTTAAAACACTCAATACACGTCCGTTATATTGCACCAATGCGCGTTGCAACCCCGATCCTGCGTGGGTATATCATCTTACATTGTTGACGTCGCCATACGGCGTTAGTTACACAAAGCTAATATGAACTGCCTTGTTATCAGTACGAATTACTTATTTATAACGAATCTAATTCAATCGAAATTAATTCCGAGTGAACTAGTACTAGCTTTGAAAACTAGCTTCGCATAAAGTGAGCCATCATACTCACTTACAATATAATAATAGGAAAAGATATACAAGTTATTTCTTTAGTCCAGGTTATTCAATCGAATATGTTTACATATTGATTGTCAAAATGTTATGTCAATGGCTGTGCTTGGTTTCTTTTATCCGTACTGTACACTTTTTGCCATTCGTGGCTGGAATTTTAAGTACGTTTAATGTGATCACGGCCTAAACAGCGCTGTTTGACAACACACAATCACTGTCAGTTACTTTAACTATGGGGAGGTTACTCGAGAAGCCATAATATCCCAGACCTGGCCATAAACAAAATAAAAAGAAGAAGAAGACAACCTATGACATAACATTTGACAGCTCGTTAAATTGATATTGTTAAAAATACTATGTTATGTTAGTATAAATTCAAGCGTTAAATTAATTGATCAGTGGTTATGGTTAGTGATTTAACTACAATTTAATACGTGTTCGCTCTGGGATCGACTCGTCTGTCAGTTAACACGTGACCAGTCCGTTGAACCGTGTGTGGACTGCAAACAAAAAAAAATGTCAGCAATACGTTAATTTGAATTTATATATGGTACGAACAATGTCAGGACTTGGTAGGTCTTGAAACTATTGACCTGGGGGTGCGTAGTGTGAGTTTACGTCAAACGCAAACGATATCGACTGCGTAAAAAAGTGACATTAAATGTATGACGGTTTGTTAAGCGCTCCTAACGGAAACTTTCAGGAACTAAAATGTTCATATTTTTTTTAACGCAGTCGATATCGAATAGGTCTAACGTAAACTCAAACTACGCCCCCTGTTGTCAATCATAAACCATGGTGTCTAGCTGAATAGGTTAATATATTTCCAAAATACTGAACTGTCCTATCCATGACATTGACAGCGGGGCGCCACCGTCAATACTGGATCGCTGGTTCCGATTTTTGCCATGTTGGAAACCTGTGGAAATCATATAGCTGAACGATGGTAGCGCCCCCCTGTCATTGAGTTTGGTGGGACAGTTCAGCGTGGGTCATCTATACAGCAGTGGATCGGTGCGGAAAAGCTGTCACGTGACGTAACAGAGCTGTCAGGTGTACATACATGTCTGAAGTCCCCTGACATTTGAGGTAGTAAAAGTGCCGCCACTTATCTGCTGTAATCTATAGGCCTAGGATGCGAGCCGCGATAAGCTTTTATCGCGCCATTTTATCGATTTTACGCGACAAGCCCATACATTTGTCATCTAAAATCCTTAATAAGATTTTATCGCGTCACGGTGCGCATCCTAGCCCGGCTGGTCAATTAATGCAATAAGGCTGGGTTGCACCATCTTTCTTTGATAAACGTCAAAAATCTGTCAATCTTCATACAAAAAGCACCGGTTATCGTCATAGTTACCGTTAAAGTTAGGTGGTGAAACTCAGCCTAATGCCCGTTTTTACCATCAATCCCTAATTTTTAAGTGACCCCTATCACAACAAAATTCCTGTTATTTGTTACCATAGGGGTCACTTAAAAATTAGGGATTGATGGTCAAAATGGGCATAAGTGTAGTAAGTTAAGATGTACCTAGTAGTGTTGTACTAGTATTAGCAGTGGGGCGGGTCCCGCGTTCATAAGTCGATGTGGTGCGGGGTCGAGGCCGAGTGCGGGATAGCGGGCAGCGCGGCTACGCCTGTAACATTGAAAATGGGTGATTTCAACATTTTTTATGTGATTATATTCGCAGATTTTTTCATTTTTATACTTTAAGCATTTTTTCTATCGAGCAAAATTTGTTTAATCGTGTTTTCGAAACAGTGATCCCATCACACATACGTTCTGTAATGCATATTGTAAATTTCAGTGCGAAATATCGTCAATTCTTTAAGTAAAAGCTAATAGACAACAGTCAATATTGCCTTTCCCACTTACTAATGTCCCTTAAGAATATTGTCTGATGCCCGTTTTCACCATCAATCCCAAAATTTAAGTGACCCCTATATTAACAAAATTCATGTTATTTGTTACCATAGGGGTCAAATACAAATTAAGGATTGATGGTGAAAACGGGCATGAGACCTCTACTATAAGTTTTGGACTTATCTGTGCGTAAAAAAAGTACGCTCGAACAAGCCGATCTCAATCTCTATAATAGTGACAATGTACGCATATTTGTTAATATCCTTCTTAAGTATGATTACAAATGGACTAAAAATCGCACTGTAGAAACCGGGAGATATTCATTCATATATGTATTTTTAATGCCTTAAAACTTGTTTCGAACGTAACGTCATATTTAGTGGTGACTCACCGATCTCGCCCCTGCCTTCAGTATTGATCGAGTGTCCGTCCGGCGCGGGCGCGGGGACGGGCGCGGGCGCGGCGCTGTGCTTATTTGGTCGAATCCACTTTAGTAAATATAGCGAACTTCACTTGTCTTATTTCGTGGTGACTCACCGATCTCCCCCCTGACTTCAGTATTGATCGAGTGTCCGTCCGGCGCGGGCGCAGGGACGGACGCGGGCGCGGCGCTGTGCTTATTTGGTCGAATCCACCTTAGTAATTATAGCGAACTTCACGTCTTATTTAGTGGTGACTCACCGATCTCCCCCCTGACTTCAGTATTGATCGAGTGTCCGTCCGGCGCGGGCGCAGGGACGGACGCGGGCGCGGCGCTGTGCTTATTTGGTCGAATCCACCTTAGTAATTATAGCGAACTTCACGTCTTATTTAGTGGTGACTCACCGATCTCCCCCCTGACTTCAGTATTGATCGAGTGTCCGTCCGGCGCGGGCGCGGCGCTGTGCTTATTTGGTCGAATTCACCTTAGTAATTATAGCGAACTTCATGTCATATTTCGTGGTGACTCACCGATCTCGCCCCTGACTTCAGTATTGATCGAGTGTCCGTACGGCGCGGGCGCAGGGACGGACGCGGGCGCGGCGCTGTGCTTAGTTGGTCGAATCTACCTTAGTAATTATAGCGAACTTTATGTCATACTAGCTTTCCGCCCGCGGCTTCGCCCGCGTGGAATTTTGTCTGTCACAGAAAAACTTTATCGCGCGCGTCCCTGTTTCAAAAACCGGGATAAAAACTATCCTATGTTCTTTCCCGGGACTCAAACTATCTCTATGCCAAATTTCATCAAAATCGGTTGCGAGGTTTAAGCGGGAAAGCGTAACAGACAGACAGAGTTACTTTCGCATTTATAATATTAGTTGGGATTTAGTGGTGACTCACCGATCTCCCCCCTGACTTCAGTATTGATCGAGTGTCCGTCCGGCGCGGGCGCGGGGACGGGCGCGGGCGCGGCGCTGTGGGCCCGACGACGGGAGCGCCCGCGCCGCGCCCGCCGCTCCGATACCGGCTGGAGAAGCGGCGCGGACTCTGACGCTGGCACGCTGCAAAACACGGTTAAATTGATCAAATACTTGTATACTACGGCCGCTAATGGGACTATTCGCACCTCTCGTTCCCACCGCTGCAACTTTCGTGTAGCCAGGATCTACAGCTTGACCGCCAATAGAAACCCAACCAGTGAGGGTCAAGTTTCTCCCGGGGGAAAGTTAAACTGTTTCGCTCCGGTTGCTAGTGTGAAGCCGCGTATCCACTAGAAATCCCGCCATCACCGCGTATTTATAATACAGTGGCAATTATCTACACATTTAAATAATACTCACTTTTCACTATCATTAGTCGCTTGATTATTTTCTTCTGTTCCTGAAGTTGCTTCCTGAAACAACATTAAGCATATTAAAATCCTATATGGATTCAAAAAGGGTCTGTGCATATAGATTGTTAGTTTAAGGATAATTTATCCGTGTAGTTCCGGAAGAGTAACATGTGATTAACATCAGTCTTTCTATAGTTGGCCAGCATGGGGATATGTAGGTTAAATCCACAATTGTTCTTTAATAAATAAGAGAGTGTCGTGTTCTTGCAGTGGAAACTAAACAAACTGATAATTAATTTAAGGCAAATGTTAAAATTATTTTGTTTTCGTTTATGTTTTATAAATGTTGCTGTTTATTTCCTTAATAAATAAATAAAAATTTAAATTAGTATCTGAAGTTACTCAGATGGCACGTCAAATTAAAGCAGTAGGGCATCTTATGTAATTGTGATAGATATCATTTTGCAATGGTTCTCACCTCAGGGTCGGCGGAGGCGCGGGTGCGACGCCAGGCTTCCATGGCGCGCGCGGCGCGGCGGAACGGATTCTCGCGTTGCGGCGCGAATGTGCCGCCCTGCAACAAACGAGTTGGATTTCAGTGTCTTATTACTAATAACAGGCCTGTTCATCTCCGTGAGTTTACATCGAAAACAAAACACGCACGATGGCCCACCTACAGGATACTATTCGACAAGGCCTCACATACGAGCGAACATTGACTTACGCACGCGTATTCTTGTGTATGATGGAAGAAAATAAAGAAAATGGTGTACTAAATACTGTGCAGTATTTAACTGCCTAAATAATAATAAAAACACAGAATGTATTTTTTTAAGTTGCCTCAAGACACTGAGAGGTAAATAAATAAGTACCTAGTTAATATTATTCATGATAATTTGTATTTCCTCCGCCATTTTCCGCAGTTTGGCACCTCACGTCACATCATTTTACCGAAGTCAGCCCTATAGCTTCGGCGCAGTGCCGATCACTGACATTTGTCAACAAAATGGTGCTTGACTCTTGAGACAGGCTAAATTACACCATATTGTTGAGCATTACATTGAGCATACATTTTTTTAAATACCTTCGCGAAGTAAAACTTCTGTACGTAGTACTTATTATTATTCTGTGCTAATAATTAAAGTTGAACAGTCCAGTCATCGACTGGGATCGAAATACTCTCGTCAGTTCGATACCGAAACCGTTAAACTATTATCATAGCCGTTCAGCTCTGTCACTTTTTAGAAATGAATTAAGGCAAGTGATCTGTGACCACTCTTTGCAACTCCTGTATATTTTGAATCTACAGCGTGATCAGTTTAAAGCTCATAACCTTATCAACTCAGTCAATTAATTAAAGGCATTATCGCGCTGTCAATCGCGAGGCGAGGTGTTTACGTTACGGTGCGGATGAGTGTGCGTTGCAGTATGGAGTTTCATACAAAGATTTGATATGGTTAAGATCCCTTTCCGGGTTGATAAATGTGCGACGTCCTTAAACCTCACCTGTGTCAACACCTGTGGCTCGGCGTCCAACAGCGGCTCGCGCGTAATTATATTGCTGTCGCGACTCTGCGACTGGCACCCGCAGTGAGTGTGCGAGCGCGATAGCATCATAATTACGCGCGAGCGATAAGGATGGGTAGCTAGGGGTCATTGGACAAAATTCTACGTGCTCACGGACCAGACTATAGTCGCAGTAACTGGCACACAATCAGGCGATGTTTTGAGAAGTGATGACATTTATCAACGATAGCAGCCTGACGGAAAGTACCGTATTTGTGGTGTCAAGCCCCAGAAGGGGGAGAATTGACTAAGAAGGGACATGGATCAGATAAATTTGTAGGGAGTCAAGCAACGCTTTGCTTCCCGGGGAAAGGAGCCCAGAGCAAGAACCCGCGCGCTCTCCCGTGATTCGTTTCGTATGCTATGAGGCAGGAAGAACCATTGGTGGCGGTGGGATTTGCTGCAAATCCTGTATAGTTTCGGTTTAGTTTGAAGCCTCAGCTTCATTACTCGCGAAGTTGGTTAAGGTTTAGAAGTAGATTTTTTTAGATAGTTTTGCCGTCATGCCTTTTGCTTCGAGCAATCTCGCCTCGCCTCGTCCGATTTGGCGACTATTGTCGGTTTTTTAGAGTCAGAGCGTTCCGAAATTTGAACGTGTTTAAACGCTTCCACAGACCAAACGCGGGTCAGTTGCAGCGCGGCAGCAGGCACACTGAAAGCAGCGCAGTTTCAAAGCAGTTGCAACGCGGGCGGTTGTCAAAAATTTAAATATTCCAAAACCGCTGTCAACGCGCTGCTACCGCCCTGCGTCCGGTTTGTCATGCTAATATGGCCGCCATAGTAATACAACAGCGCGGGCCCGCGTTCGCGCCGCTTCTGTCCCGCACCCGCGCCGCCTCGTTTGTCGTTCGGCAGTTGCAGTGCGGCGCGGTTGGAGCGCGGGCCCGCGTTCAAATTTGGTGTGACACACTTCAAAGAGTTTCTTGTATTACAACTTGCGCGGGCCCGTATTCAAACTGCGCTGCTACTGCCCTGCGTTTGGTCTGCCCAAGGCTTTAATCTTACCTATGTCAACACCTGCGGCTCGGCCTCCAACAACGGTTCTGTATCATCGGAGTCGTCGGAGTCCCTGCGCGCGCGCGCCTCCCGCTCGCCGGCGGCCAGCACGCGGCGCTTGCACACGGGACACACGCGACGGGTCTATGTTACCTCCACCGTGGTCCAGTGTACTCGCGACGCCTCTAACCGTCAGAAATGGAAGCACATCGCCAGGAGAGCTACCTTCGGAGATGACATTACCCCACCATGTACACACGGCCACACTGTTAACTATCCATTTCCGTTTTTTCTCTCGCTCTCATCAAATGGTAATTCTTTGCGATAGAACGAGACGACATGACAGGCAATGGATAGTTATAGTATGACCGCTCAAATGAGTTCTCGCCTGCGGAACGTTTACCGTTAACCACTTCACTGTGACTTCATATATCTTGAGAACTATCTAGTGAACTTTTTGATTTTAGCTCTTGTCTAACGATCCCGCCCGCTTCTCAAGATACGTAACGTCACAGTGAAGTGGTTAACGGTAAACGTTCCGCAGGCGAGGACTCATTTAAGCGGTTATACTATAACACTGTTGCCGATGGTACCTCGTCAACGCAACCACGACCACTCTGACAAGAGTGCTCGACTAAGAAGAAACCTCACCTGTGTCAACACTTGTGGCTCGGCGTCCAACAACGGTTCAGTATCATCCGAGTCGTCGGAGTCCCTGCGCGCGCGCGTCCCGCTCGCCGCCGCCGTCGGGAATAATCCCACCTTTCTTTGCCACTGCTGCAAATCTTGTCTAGTCTCGGTTTACAGTTTGAAGCCTAAGCTTCATTACTCGAGAAGTTGGCCAAGGTTTAGAAGTAGATTTTTTTAGATAGTTTTGCCGCCATGCCTTTTGCTTCGAGCAATCTCGCCTCGCCTCGTCCGATTTGCGACTATTGTCGGTTTTTTAGTCAAGAGCGTTCCGAAATTTGAACGTGTTAGGCCCGCCATACACGGACAGCTCGAGCAGTTAGCGATCAACATACACGGACCACTCTTGTAATCAAGAGTCAACAGCTTGAAGCTGCCAGTGATAACTGCTCGAGCAGTTGGTATTAACATAAATGCTCAACAAATCACAAGCGCGCGCGCCGTGGAATGAAGAAAGTGGGCGGAGGTAACTACGCGAGAGCTGTCGACAGCTCGAGCAGTCAGTGTATGGCTGGCGACTGCTTGACCGCGCGATGAAAATTCACCGTGCCGTCGACCGCCCGAATCAGTTGCAACTGCTCGAGCGGTTCGTGTATGTGCGTCCATAGAACTCTGCAGTTCACTGTGCAGTCGCAGCTCGAAGCTGTCGACCCTGACTGCTTCAAGCGGTCCGTGTATTGCCGGCCTTGAAACCTCACCTGTGTCAACACTTGTGGCTCGGCGTCCAACAGCGGTTCTGTATCATCCGAGTCGTCGGAGTCCCTGCGCGCGCGCGCCTCCCGCTCGCCGGCGGCCAGCACGCGGCGCTTGCACACGGGACACACGCGACGGTTCTGCGTGAGCCACGGGTCTACGCACTTCGCGTGGTATGCTGGAAATTGACAAAACATTTACAATAGGGGTGTTTCCTGGGTAAAAAAGCAAGTTTTAATTAGTCCGTCAGTTAGCTTATCAAAAACTACTCGACACGTATTTTTCACTTTTTAAAACTAATGAAAATGTAAAGAGATAAAGCGTACCAAAGTTCTAAAACTAATATACTATAACTTTGTAATTATTTGTTTGATTGACAATTCAAAATATTATACGTGTTCAATATTTTTTATATCAAAATTGACGGACTAAAAAATTCTTTTAGGAAACTAGCATAATGATTTTGAACTTATAATAATAAGGTTCAAATTCGCAGAACAAATGGTTGACATTTTATGGTTTTATGAGAAAGTAGGGAACGCCTCATCATGATATTGCAACTATTGGCCTAACTCACGTATTTTGAAACAGTCAAAATGTCTTTGACGTTTAGAAGTCATCCTATTGAAAAACAGTCCTAAATCCGTATTCATTTCATTGTCATTTCGATTTCGCGACAGCAATATAATTACGCGCGAGCGATAAGGATGGGTAGCTTGGGGTCATTGGACAAAATTCTACGTGCTCACAGACCAGACTATACAATAAATAATACCAACCATGTGCACACGGCAACACTCGCAGTCGCTCGCCTTCCTGGTAGTCGTCCAGACAGATGGCACAGGTCTCGTACGGGTCTCCCTTGCTGAACTTGCACGTCGGGATCTTCTTGAGAGACCGGTTCGGCAGGCGGTGTCTACGCGCTCTGCGGCGGTCTTTTATACATTTCACTATCTGGAAATACGAATATAATATTAAAAATAAGCAAGTAATTTTACACGTTTTTAATTCGCATGGATTTGATAATGTCATAACATAAGATTTAAATTGTCATCAGTAGAGTAGTGGACCCGCCAGGAAATTGATATACTTTTTCTGAGCTGGCAAGACGCGACACTGCCATAGATTTTTTAAGAAAGTGAAGCTATAGTGTCATTTTTTATAAACTTTTATTTATTTATTTATTTTCACCAACTTAAACTTAATTGTCGAATTATTTCAAAGCTACCGTAAATACGGTATTTAAGGTAGCGTAGGTAAGAATTGCGAGTTATAGGGCTAAAATATTTTACAGAAGGTTGCTTTAAGGTTCGGACAAACCAACGCGTGCAGCGATGGCGATGGCGATGGCGACCACTGCGCGTGCAAAAGTTGTTTCACACTGCCGCGACCGCGATGGCGATCACTGCGCGTGCAGGTTGTCACTGTCACTACAACTGTCACGCATATTGTCAATCACGCCTATTCGGCAAAATGGAAACTGAATTAAATGATTTGTTTGGAGCTTTTGATGCAATTGAGATAGTGGAAACGCTTTTTCACTCAAGTTTATTCAGGCGGCCATATATTATAGAATGAGACAGGATTACATGCGGTCACATGCGGTATAGGTAGTAGGTATTGGTTACTCATAACCAAGCTATATTTCTGGCTTCGTTTGTAGTCCCTAGAGCCCTAACAATACCTTTTAATTAGATTTAAAGAAAGGTTTGATAGGAAGGAGGACTGTACTAAGGCTTTCTTGGCCTCAGTGGGGGAAATGAAACACAACGCGTACGGTTGATATCTGGTTTATTACTGTTATGCTATTGCTATATACAAGATTTACATAATGTACACAATTCAATGTGTCCAGTCCAATGTGCCGTCGGTGTAGAGTGCCTACGGTGCACGTTCGTTCAGGGTTCATGGGCCAGTCGGCTAGCATGTTGTAGGTCGCGGTCGATGCTAACGTGCTCGTACAGTATCCTTGTGGGCAAGTAAGATTATAACCAATTCATCTTTTTCCTTGAGGGAAGGGGCAAATTTGCCCCCATTACCTGTTACCATTGTCGTTCTTATCGTTAAATCGCACAAAACTACACAGAACTCAACACAACATCTATCAAAATCAATTTTCATTTTCATTTTTGGTGCAACAGTCATCTTGACATTTAATTTTTTTAAGGCAAAGGAAATTACATTATGCACCCAAACCACAGAGTACACAATAGTCCAAATATCTTTTTTGTCTTTAATAATAACCCAAAAATACAAAAAGACATCAGTTTTGATCAACTAGGTGTTTCTAGTGGCACTAAATTAATGACTGAGACGTTTGATGACTTTAATTAGGTTTTTATTTATGGCATACTTAGAATTGCTCTAGGGCCTTTGAAAAAAGCTGCAGACATGTACATTCTCAATTATTTTGTTCTGCGGATAATATCCCAATTTTATTTATGAAGTTGAAGAAGCAGGTTCTCGAGAAAACTAGAATAATTTGTTTATTACATAAAAATAAATTCTGATATTGATACTTTATTCTAAAACCTTATTTACTATTCAAGTAGGTCAGACTAGTGGTATGTTATGAATAATTCGTTTTTAATTGTGTAAAAACTTTTTAACAGATCCTACTTACTATTTATTACATCGATTTTAAAAAACAGAAACGTCACAGTGACAAATGTCGCGATGATCGCTGATCGCTGCGTGCAGACGCTGCATAGATCGCCGCGACCAATGACAGGACGCGTTGATGTGAACACATCGCTACAAATTCATACACGCTGTCTGGTCGCCATCGCCATCGTCATCGTGCACGCCGGCTGCACGCGTTGGTCTGGTCTAACCTTTACTTAAGAAGTATATTATTCATTCTTAGTTATAGTATATGGTGTTAAATACCCAATTAACTTGATGCTACTCGATTTCTGAGCTGTTTTGTGCACCTTAGTATTTCTACGCACCGTACGATGATACTCAATACTCAATTTTTTATTGCATCCATAATATGATAAACTGATGATGACTCACCATGAAGATGATGATGATGATGAGGCAGAGCGCCACCACCACCGCAAACGGCAGCAACAAGTGCGTGTTGATGTCGAACGGCTCGTCACCGTTCACCATTATGTAATAATTACTGCAACAATTGAAACAAAATCACATAATTTATGTCAAGGCCAGGCCTCCCACTAGGTGGACCGACGACCTGGTGAAGGTCGCGGGAGGTGCCTGGATGCGAGCGGCGCAGGACCGGTCTTTGTGGAAATCCTTGGGGGAGGCCTTTGTCCTGCAGTCGACGTCTTTCCGCTGAAACGAACGAACGAACGAATTTACTTATTGTCAAAAAAGTATCCTACATTTCATTGTTTATATCTGTAGATGGGGCAGTAAGGTTCTGGAGTGGAGGCCGCGTACCGGAAAACGCAGCGTGGGACGTCCACAAGGTGGACCGACGACATCATAAAGGTAGCAGGAAGGCGCTGGACGCAGGCCGCTACCAACCGGGCAGCATGGAAAGCATTGGGGGAGGCCTATGTTCAGCAGTGGACGTCCTATGGCTGAAATGATGATGATGATGATGACTGCGGCACGGGAGGGTGTTTTTTGTTACGTCAAATGTCAGCGAGGCTTCAGATTTGTATGCTCTCTCACGTCATAATACGTCAAAAATCACCTCTCCCATATCTCAGTTAAGCCTTAGATCTTGTAAACGGGTAGGTTAAGAAACTGCCCTTACTTGTATACCCTCGTCTCAAAAATGCACCTTATATTCATGACGTTAGGACTTACCGTGGGAAATTGGCTGGCATGTTTGAGTGACAGAGTTGCAGAGTTTAGGTACTCCCAGTAAGATGATTAGCTCCAACTGTAGTTTCATTCATTGATTCAGGTTTGCAAACTCCAATGTATTAAATTCTCTTCAAAGCCCCGTTTTAGTTCATTACTTCACGGATATTAAATACATGAGTGGGGCAAACGTGGATACTGACCGTGAGGTGTAATTGTAGTCATCAGCAAGCAAGATGCCAGTCTTTTCGCTGACGAACACGGACGGAATACTAATGTTGAAGGAGTTTTTTGCTGACATTGTTTCTGAAATGGAAAAATTACATAATCATAGAATACATTAGGTATAGGGTGAACTAAAATGCAATAAAATATTCAAATCAATGAAAGAATATGCATGGCAGGCATCTTCTCATCCATGGATAGAAGTATAATAAAAAATAAAAAAAGATCTTCCTATTAACGTAGCTTCTCTTTAGTGAGAATTTCATTTTCATAAGTATATCCTGTATTTTAGTACGAAATGATTACTGTGTATTCCAGATGCCAAATTTAAGTAGAACTGGATATGTTCCTAAATTGCTTTTTATTGCCGCTAATCTCAGGAAGTACTGGTCCAATTTGAAAAAATATTTTTGTGTAGGATAGCTCATTTATCGAGGACGACTTTAGGCTATACAACATCACTCTACAGCCAATAGGGGCGAAGTCGCGGGCACAGCTATTTTCATATTTTGAAAACCGAACTTCCACTTATTATTTATCCCACTTGCAGTATTGTATTAATCGAATAATAAATAAGAATAACACATTAAACTTCACTAGTTGAGCCGTTATTATCTAGCACAAATAACGAGGTAAATAGGGCTACGCACTTAGTATCACTGCACATGTTTATGCGGAATAACAACAAATCCGATATTTTTCTTGTTGGTTCCATATTGAGTTTGATCGGCGTAAAATGTATGCGTCAATTCCTCTCTCTACAGGGATGATAACTGAGGTACTTTGCATACTTTAGCTTGAAGAAGCAACAGTTTAGGGTTGACACAGATGCATACTACAGACAAGATGTTTCTTTAAAATCAAAATTATCATTATTTGCATAGACTAAGGCTGAGTTGCACTACCAAACTTTAACGGCAACTATGACGATAACCGATGCTTTTTGTATGGAGTTTACAGTTTTTTGACGTTTGTTAAAGTCAAAATAAGATGGTGCAACCCAGCCTATTTGAATTAGTTCTTACAAATCGTCAAATGCTCATAAGGAGCCTTACATGTCTCATTCTTTTCTTGCCCTACTTATGTGTGTTAAAGTAAATAAATAATTTGTTTCCATTAATATTATATGACCATGCCCTCTAGAGATTATGCCAGACGTCACGTTTTCTAAAATGGAATCTATTACTACTACTAAGTATAAGATGCCACAGTAGAGTTGATAATTATGCTGTTGACTGTACTATCGGCCACAGTTCAAGCTAACCGTTTCCGTTTTTTTCTCTCGCTCTCATCAAATCGCGATTTTTTTCGATAGAACGAGACGACATGACCGGAAATGGGTAGCTGGAAGTGTGGCCCTTCGTACATGGCGAATGGATATCGGATAAAATACTATATAATCGACACTAAACATTCAATAGGTTCAGTGGTATAGGCATTAAAACGGGAAAACCATTGTTAAGTGCCCTATTTATTTACACTAATATTATAAAGAGGAAATCTTTGTTTGTTTGGTTGTAATGAATAGGCTCAAAAACTACTGGACCGTTTTTAAAAATTCTTTCACCATTCGAAAGCTACATTATCCACGAGTAACATAGGCTACATTTTATTTTGGAAAAAAAAAAGTTTCGTAAAATATTTGGGTGTTTCGGGATCCACGCGGGCAAAGCCGCGGGCGGAAAGCTAGTTTTTTATAAAATCTTTCTAATCGGAAACGTATTTTTATATTATCTTCCTGGCAACATATTGGCCAACCTTACTAGCTAAGTAATGAAATGATAAATACAGCAGTAATTTTTGATATCGCCTCGCAAACAAATAACAATTCCTACGAGTACCCCACCGGAGTGCATTATTCTTATCAAGGCCCACTCATAAAAATACGTTGTTGTTTGTATATCTCCCTACAACGAGGTTGTTATAGCTCAATAGGAAGGCGTTTCTTTAACGAGTTTTAATTGTTATATCGGTCACTAGAATTACGTTAATTTCAGAATTTCTGGAACGATTACAGCGAAGCATTTACAGGCTGCTTATAGAGTTACTAGCTTTCCGCCCGCGGCTTCACCCGCGTGGAATTTTGTCTTTCACAGAAAAACTTTATCACGCGCGTTCCTGTTTCAAAAATCGGGATAAAAACTATCCTATATCCTTTCCTGGGACTCAAACTATCTCTATGCCAAATTTCATCAAAATCGGTTCAGTGGTTTTGGCGTGAAAGAGAGACAGAGTTACTTTCGCATTTATAATATTAGTATAGTTTTTTTTTATCAATACACGGATAAAACCTCCGCAAACATTTGTTTACTGTAATTAATCCAATTAACATGTAACAAGGCAATTAGTTCCTGTCATCATTACCGTAAATATCATCAGCAATTTAAAACGTCCGCCTGATGGACGAATGAATTAAAGATGGCATGGAGATTAAGGAGGCTTATTCGCTTAAATATACCGAGTGCCGAATTTACAACAGATATCGAACATTGATGAGGTCACATACAGGGTGGAAACGATAAGTGATCTCACTCGATTATTTCTAAACTATACAAGATATGGAAAAACTGGTTACTGATTCTGAAAGTGCTTCACGAGCTCTTTCAAACGGTACCAATAATAGGTTACAGAATAAACTGGAACTATCCGAAAATTCAATGCTTCCAGCTTCCATACATTTGGTAAAGTTACGTAATATTAAAAACTACACAAGATATCGCAGAATTAGTTACTGATCCTAAAAGTGCTTCACGAGCTCTATCCAACGGTAGCAACGATAGCTTACAGAATAAATTGGATCTATCCAAAAATTCAATGTTTCCTTTCAGGCCTGCCCCGTAAGCGGGCCGTCTCCAGTGGTGTCGCGGAAGTCTAAGACTTTCGTGTTTCATTTGGCCGGACATTTTACCCTAAAAGCCGGACAGGTGACGGGGGGGTTCAATTAGTGTCAGCTCATGAGTGAGTACTATTATCATCATTGCTAACCAACATCCTGATGCGTGCGCTTCATATGATTTCTGATTCGACTTTCGCCTGGCGCGGCAACCAAATAAAAAGCCTAACAAAAGCCGGACAGGCCGGACAAGGCAATATTTGGCCGGACAAGACCCTAAAAAGCCAAACATGTCCGGCTAAAGCCGGACGCCTGGCAACCCTACTCGCGACACCCCACTCGGGCGATGACGGAACGCCGCAAAGGTTCTAGTGGGTATACCGCGTTCTTTTCAGGATGGAGCAGCGACCTTTTCAGGGCGCCAGGAGTCCCAGACACCACCCTGTTCCGAACGTTCCGACGCTCTACTCGAACAAAAATTGGCACTTTAAACTTTAATAATTTGCAGATCAGAGAACAGACCCCCCAATAGAAACCCCCAAGCTATTTTAAAACACTTATTCACGATGGGGTAGCAGATGAAAAAAAAATTCATCCCCGCTTTACATGTAGGGGAGCTACCCTTAAAATTTTTTTTCTTAATTTAATTTTACCGTTTTATCGGCGTTATTAATAGACATAGGTACCTCCATAAAATTACAGCTCCCTAGTGCCAATATTTTCCAAGCAAAACCTCGGACAGACAGACAGACATATCGAAACTATAAGGGTTTCTTGTCAGGGCTACGGAACCACAAAAATGGACAGTACAACTCACCGAGCTCATCGGAGCCGACGTTGTGGACGATGACGCAGTCGTACCCCGCATTCATGGCGTTGGTCACCTTGTCCGCGAACGAGCAGTTGTATCTGTAGGACATACATAATTAGCATTAATAATATAATCCATCATCAAATCATGAATCTAGGAAATCCTCAGATGATAGGACGTCCATCTCAAAACTAAAGCCCGGTCCGTGAGCACGTAGAATTTTGTCCAATGACGTGTGCAAGCGCAATAGCAACATAATTACGCGCGAGCGATAAGGATGGGTAGCTTGGGGTCATTGGACGAAATTCTACGTGCTCACGGACCAGAATATAGTCGGCAGATAGGAAAATAGCGGATGATGTAATTTTTTATCCTTTTCTCTCAAAACAGCTGTCTTCACTCATTTCTTTGAACGAAAGCATAGCGCTGCATATTAACCGGAAGCTCGACCCATTCCTTTTTATCCGGCGACTAGTGAAAATTATTTGAAGGATAACAAGAGCATATAATTGACGCTGCAGCCGCTAGCAATGAAGGCTATCGTTTTTATACTTAACAGTTGGCACCCCTGGCGATTGACATGACCTTACTCTACAGTGGCGCCATCTTGATGAGTGCAAAATGCTCACAAGTTGGTGACACTGTCTTCGCTACTAGCAAGTGACAAGACCCTTACTCTACAGTGGCGCTAACTGGTGAGCGCTAAAACGATAGCCCTCATTATTATCTACATACGACCTAGAAACTTATGAGCAGATCTGTGTTTGTGAAGTTAGCACAGCGGGCGGTGGCTGATTGGCCCCGCAGCCGTCTCCCTCGAAGTGAGACCTTCAGCCGATGGTGTACGGTCTAATATCCTTCGTCACTCACCTAGCGACCAGCACTATCCACTTGTTTGTGAAGTTATCCACAGCGGGCGGCGGCTTCATGGCGCCGCAGCCGTTGGCCGGCTGACCGGGCACCAGGAGTCCGCGCAGCCCCTCGAATGGAAGGTCCGGTCCGAAGCTCGCCGGCCGGTCTAAGAAGGTATTCTCTATCTGCAAGAAAACATCATCGTTAGGTCAAGGTTACACTCTGTTGAACACAAGTTAAGTGTTTTAAATTAGTCGTTAATTAAACCCGCGTGTAACATTTATTACTAAGAAAGAGGAGAAACTTCAGGAGAACAGGCGGCTCTTTCTAAACCAGGAGGAGAATTGTCGATTTGGCCTAACTTCCAACGCTGGCGAAACGAGTTGGGGAGGCCTGTGGCCTAATTCACGTATTTTGACAGTCAAGATCTCGCTGACGTTCAGAAGTCCCATAGAAAAACAGTTCTAAATCCGTATTCATAAGGGTCATTTCGATAGAACGATTACTCGACAGGATCGCATACAGCGATTTGCTGTCGTTGAAGTTTTGTTACGTGAATGAGGCTACTGAGTACTGATGATGAAGGAAAATATCACAAATGCACATTTTTATCTATGAAAAGGTATTCGAGACATTGGTTGGATTTGAATGAGTTTACTTTATTCATCATCATCATTTCAGCCATAGGACGTCCACTGCTGAACATTAGGCCTCTCCCAATGCTTTCCATGTTGATCGATTGGTAGCGGCCTGCGTCCAGCGCTTCCCTGCTACCTTTATGATGTCGTCGGTCCACATTGTGGGTGGACTTTATTAAACGAAGAATAAGCAAGGGTCTCTTCATATGATGACTGGTGATTTATTTATCGTTAACCGTACCGTTTCACATATTTAATCGACTAAAAAACCATTGGATTATCAGATAAAGCGTGACGGCCAGTTGTAGCTGCAGATTGGAATACTGCTGAGTATAATTTTGGCATGTACCAACTGATGACCACGCTCGTTTATAGAATACGAGTTCATTTACAGAATAATAATTTCGGGGCTAAATAGTGTGGTATTACAACAATAAAATGATACCACTCCCTATTTATAATCAAGTAAAATTAAATACTAACAAAAACCTGCAATCCCACCACATGCCACACCTGAATGGCGTAGCGAGGATTCATTTTAAACAGCATGATTGACACTTCACAATTTCACATTTCACTGTCAGCCAATGCCAGTTTTGCCTCGATTCGACGTCCTGCCACTGTCCATCTATGGTTCACTCACTGGTCACTGGTACGAGCACTGGTCGAGAAATTCATTGAAATCAATCCGGTACCACTCAGCCTTGCTGCCCCACAAGTAATGAGCGAAGATAAGGTAATCTATAGATTAAACGCTTGACATTCACTATTGGAAAAGTACTGGTTTACTTTTAAGTTAACTATTGTTGTTATGGTGCGTCCAGACTGGGCGAACGGGCTCGCGCGGCACGCTGGTCATCCTGCTCACTCAAGAGCAGGGTGAGCAGGAGGAGTGAGGTTCGCCCAGTCTAGACGCACCATAAGTGTAACAGTGTGTACTATACTGAAAGCATACTACGCACTTTAGTACAAGCCTGCATATAAATAGTATGTAGATTAATTTCGCAGAATATTTTTGGGGCTAAGACAAAATCAGATGCTAATTTTTGGACTGTACAGATCGTATGTAAAAGAAATCATGGCGATGGAGTGAGAGGTAAGAGATTTGGACTCTCCAACATGGAGACGTTCTCGATAAGATCTTATATGGGCATCTAAAAATACTGAATTTTTTTTCCGAAATGAATATGATATTATACCTAATATTTTACTTCGTGATTTTGAAGACACGTCTAACGCCGCTGATTGTCAAAGCGACAGAAGACTATCACCCGTATTCACAAACATTACTATGAGGTCTCACAGTGCGCGTGGACGCACTGGGTCACACACGTACCAATCACAGAGCTCTTATCAACGCTGTGCGTTCGATTTGCTGCTTCATTTAAGCGAGCATCTTCACTATATATAGCTAATACTAGGGTTGTGACCTCAGTCGATAGATATAGATGTATCAAGTCGATAGAAGATAACCAATATGTTTTAAGGAAAAGCAAAATACTCCGCAACATCATCGTTCCATGCGATGGATATAACCGACCACTGAGTTATCCATGCATGTCATTATGCTCCGCTTCCCCTCTTACACAAACTGATATTACTTCGATAGCATGGCTTCTGAGTTTATTAAACTTTGTTTTAATACAAGAAAGCAAGTACAAATACCCAAAAAAAGAATAAACTGTAAACCACTTTTGTTTTTCATCAATTTAATGACCGAGAGGTTCAATTATTTTGCTCGATTGTAGATGCTACCTAGTAAAGAAATTTCAAGCATTTACGATCTCTCTATCATACTTAAACTGCCGGGTTTTAGAAGTTATAAATAAAGTTTTATAAAATTCACCAAAATGTCGATAAATAACAGTATCATTAACACTACTAATTAAGTTGATAAATATTTATGTAACAAACAATTTAACATTGGGCCAAGTACGGATTTAATATTTAATGATCAATTCTAGTTATCCAATGAAAAATAGCAATAAAGTACAAAATGTATGGCATGGAAATAGGAGTATTCAGCTCCTCTACCTTTGTATGGGTACCTACATATCGTCTAAAATCGATATATTATCGTTATATTATGTCTATGTCGAATCGTATATACATATACGAATCGTATATGTTTCGTCATGATAGTAAAGCCAAGAGCTGAACTTTTATACCACCGGGTTCTCCTTCGTCTCTTACGACTACCTGCCACAGACCCAATGGGGCTTTGGAAAATTTTAATGCTCTGTCTGCTTGGTGGTAACCATAATTCTTACTGCCGTAACAAAAAGGTTAACCGCATTGTTTATTGTATTTCAGCAGTTAGAGGTAAGATAGCTAGTTTCCCTGAAGTTGAGGACTCCGGGTAAAGCTGGCTTGCACTTTCGGCCTGATAATTACTTCCCACTAGGAGAAGTAGGCCAAGAGCTTCCCAAGAATATATTTTGAAATTGAATTTGAAAAGAACTAGACAGTTATAATTTTGCTATTCCATTTAAAGAGGTAAGACACATGATGTAACCGTACGAATTGCTTAATTAGTTGAACTAATCAGTTAACTTTAATGGTAGCTCTATTAGTAATTAAATTCTAATCATAAATAGCTCTACTTTAACTGTTATTACACGCCCTAACAGCATGACTTAATCAATCATTAACGACAAATTTCACTGCATTACTTTGTATAACCTTGGGGTATGCCGGGGTGATTGGAATCACGTATTCATTTTATCATAAGGTTTACTATCTTAGATAAATATGACATAACACTACAGGAAACATTAGAGGAAAACTAACTGACGCGTGACGCCCGTTCATAATCAGAAATGAGGAGATCCGCAGGGGAACCAAAAAGTGACCGACATAGCTCGCAGAATTGCTAAAATCAAGTGGCAGTGGGCGGGGCACATAGCTCGTAGAGATGATGGCCGTTGGGGCAGAAAAGTTTTCGAGTGGCGACCACGGGCTGGAAGACGTCGCGTGGGCAGGCCTTCTACTAGGTGGACCGACGATCTGGTAAAGGTCGCGGGGAGAACCTGGATGCGGGCAGCGCAAGACCGTTCATTGTGGAAAACCTTGGGGGAGGCTTTTTATGATAATTGGTATTTTGTTGATAATGAATCAGTTTTTTTTACTAATTTCAACACTAAATAAACAACAGAATATCCAATTCTGTTATGATTGATTGTAGGCTCATTCACTTTATCGACCGAACAAGTGCAGTCATAGTAAAAGGTCAACCAATTCAATGCGAGTAGGAAGGGAGATAACACAGTGACTCAGCGACCATAGAAGTTGTTAAGTAGTTGCATTATGTTGTAACTTAGTAGGTAAATAAATATAGGTGCCTAGAAAAACAGTCGACAGTATCACCCAAATTATACTCCGCATTCGATAACCTCGGCTCATTATTGTGTCATCTTACCAAATTAAATAATAATCGCAAGTTTGTCATTGCTGCTACTTACAGTCGTCGGCACATCAACTTAAAACTGTAGAATCCTAACGTATTTGTATAGATGCGATTTTACCACAAAAACGTTAAATTGGATGTAGTACTCCTGCGGTATAAATGCTTGAAACCGATGACAGGGCCGAAATTGTTTGATTAAACTTACCGCCCCGTTTATTTGGTAGAATGATTTGGACATTCTGAACTGGTCAGTCAAAATTAAATAAAGTGACTAATATAAACTGGGTATATTGTTATTTTTGACAATAGGTGACACCGTATTACAGAACGAAGGTCAAGACTCGTTTTAATTTCACACATAAATTCTCTCCTGAAATTCAAGCACTCAAAAGCCTCAATCTTTGATTGAAATTGAATTAAGTTTCGCTCTGTAAAATACAAATTCTTTTATAGTGTCTTTCACGGCACTTCTTACTTTTTTTAACTTCTCAACTCGAAATCTCTCGTCTCACTTAACTTGTCGAATTGAGAACCTCTCAACCTCCTTTCTTGAAGTCAGTTAAAAAGTAGAGACACGTTGTAAAGTCGGGAGGTGGACACAAATTGTGTCCACCTCCCGACTTTACAACGTGTCTCTATAGCCCTGAAAGCCTACTGTGTATTGTGTCACACAATACACAGTAGGCTTTCAGGGCTACCGTTTTGTTTTTGTAAAACAAACGTGTCTAATAACACTCATTCAGTCCCACATAAAGGACATTTCAAACAAAATAAATTCACAAAAGGTACTCGATGAGTCACACCAGCAATACGATCAACAAATTAACAACGTTAGTTCAATGACTGCCCCCCATCCAAGAGCGTTTGATGCACCCATTTATGCAGTTTATTTTTTGTTTTTTTTACTGTATTTTTCCTACCGTCGGTCCTTGTTAAATTGCGTATCAATTCTGCATTAAGTGATGGTTGTTGTTGGGTGCAAATAACGTGTCATTATAAATTAGAACTACTGGTAGTGATGTCGCAAGGATCTACATTTTGACCGCCAATAAAAACTACAGGCCAAGTTTGTACCCAGACGAAAGTTACAGTACAGTCATTCGACCTGCAGCGAAATTAATCAGAAGACCAGTGAATGAAGCATCACACCTATGCGTGGGAGATTAAATTTAAAGAGTGACAGACGATGGCCTTGGCAACGCGGTCGCATCTCTCCGCGTTTGCCTTTACCTAAACTATTAAAAAACCTCTATTCTATTTATATTACTAATCAAATATTCTTCTCTCGGATTGAAGTCAACATATGTCGGAAGGTCGACTGGTTGACAGTTGATAGACGGAAATTCGTGATAGGTATTTGCGAGCTCCAGCGATTCAGCGTGATTCCTGATATGAGCGCAAGTGAAAACACACTTTGGGTCGCTTTCCCACAGGTTTATTCCATTTTGTTGAGCTGGGTGAACAAAGTAGATTTTTAATGTCCTCATTTCACCTCGGAACCATTTCACCCAGGTGAATTGAGCCGACTAATGCAGTCGCCTTTTTTATTCACCTAGAAACTAGGACAGGGCTTCCCAAACTAAACGTGTATCCCAACGGCGAAAATAGATCTAAATGGCCTTTTCCAAACTTTACCCCGTTTCGAAAAGCTATGCTCAGAAAAGCAAGCACATCCTTGCATCCTTCTAATTAATGTACACCTTTGTAACATTATGGATGCAAGACACTAAGACAAGTTTCCAAGGGTGTACAGTAATAAAGTTTGGGAAACGTAGTCTAATAGACATAGAATTTCTGTAAGACATTTGTTTGTAATTCCTAAAATAAAAATTAGAGTAAGTAAGTAGTAATTAATTATTCTTACCAAATGTGGTACAATTTCTGTGTAGACGACGACGTCGCCACGGGCCACTGCCAGTAGGCCCAGCACGCCAGTGATGACCGCAGACAGCATCTTCACTGCATCACCTGATGTCGCTACCGTGATACGCAGTCTTCACTGTCACTGCATCACCAGATATCACTGCCGTGATACGCACTCTTCACACAGTCACTGCATCACTAGTCTCTATCGTGATAGGCAGCGTTCACACTATCACTGCATCACTAAATGTCGCTGACGTGATACGTAATTCTCGCGCTCGGTCACTGCATCACCCGACGTGTCTGCCGTGATACGTCACACCTCGGATGCCCCTACGATGGTGTGTGTAGGCGGTAGAGTATGGCGCATTGTTTTGATCTGAAGATGGAAATGAGGTGGATTAAGTAATGAGTATTCCAGTAGGTAGGTACCTTTTCTTTTAAATTAAGCTAATGATAATACTTAAATGGTAATTTGACGTTAATCGGCGTTAATAGTGTTTTAATGCTCTTTTTGAATCAATTTGCAACAAAAATGTTAATGCAGGTTTATACAGGTGGTTCAAAAATAAGATAAGGTAGAGGAGAGTACCTACATTAAATTAGAATAATTTTTCAATGTATCCATTTTTTAGGATTTTTATTTGTGTATTTAAAATAATCTTAATTAGGTAGGTATTTGAATTTTATGTGTGAGAAAAGTAGCAAAGACCAAAGTGGTCAAGAAATTTAAACAAAAATGATGTAACTGATTGTTTACAGTTACAGCAACAGCTGTTTACAGATAACATGATGATCACACCGGTATCTGAAATGTCATAACATTTCAGTAATTAAAACTTAATTACGATATCACACTATAATTAACACAGATGTAGTATCATCCTTTCAACTTTGTCTAATATCAAATAATACAGTATTTGAGAAGTATGTAGTAGAGTATTAATTTATAATTGAAAAGTTAAGATTGATTTGTTCTTTGTTTTTCAGTGTTATTGTGTAATCAATCACACATTCACATGATTCTGTGAGATAAAAAATACACATAAATGATATCCATAAATAAATGCAACAAAGACAGCAAATACATTTTCGTAAGAAATTAATTTTACAACAAAAGTGAAGAAAACTGCTGTCAAACAGTTTGCTCATATAATTACATATAGGTATGTTTTTGCAATAGTTATAAAACACCACACAACAATCATCCTTAGAAATTAGTACCATGTGGGGTTATTTATTAGTCTCTTCTACTCATAGAGTGATATTGGCATGAGTGATAGAGATAGACCCCAAAAAATTAAAACAGGGTTAGGCAACCCATTGGGTTACAGAGGAGAGTGTCCTGTTAACATTTTAAGGTTAAAGTTTTTAGCTGGCACAACTAAAAAGTAAATTTTCTTATGTTTAACTTTATGTAGACATTACTTCTACATAAGGAGCTACAGTGTTGTCAGTCATGTGTCATTGTCCGTATATTGTAACCGATGGCTTAGTTGCATTATTAGTTGACACAACCTGTTTGATGGATCGATTCCATACAAGTTAACTTTATTTTAAAATGAGGATTTGAACTAGATACTATAATCAACATCCGTAAAATGGGACTGAGTTTAAACAAACATTTACACAAACTGGTCAACTAATTGAGTTGACAAAGTTTACTTTTAAATTAAGGAATGCAATAACAATTTCAGCACTACACTATCACAATGCTTTAAAATACTTGGCGAACTCATTATTCTGTTCAATTGGCGTGTCAGACTCAAAACTCACACATAAGCATCAACCACAAGATAAACCACTGGCCCAAATTAAACTGATATCCGATTAAACGTGATTCGGGGCATCCAGCGACCCCTGATGCACTTATCCGAGATGTCTGAGATACTGCCTCACGCACACACACATTGTTTTGCAAAAGATAACACAATAAGTTTAGCTATCAAAACAAAACCACAATGCACGAAGAATGTTATGTGATTAACAATGGCTGTCGCATCACAGGCTAACTCGATTATTTTACACATGTACAGCACATAGCTGTCCTTGGATCACGTGTTTTAAATACAGCATTAATTTCATTTGAACATGTTCACACTGACTGGATACATTGCAAAATTACGGCCGACTAACAAAGGCAACGTAACAGGTATACTTACAACTGGCTTGTGTAATACTGCTTTCTAGGTAATAATTTACTTCTGTTCACCAAACAACGCGATTCGTAACAAAATTTGGAAACAAAATAAACATTACAATCAATTACGACTGAAAGAATATTCTCTTCCGCAGAATCCGATCTGTCAAAGCAAATCAGAAAAAATTAGTCATGTCTCTAACAAAAACAGCATCAAAGTATGTCCCATCACAGCCAATGGAAAACAAGCTTAAAATAAAAGCTTCATTTTGATTGGTTGAAATTGTACGATTAACTAAACTTCATTCAGTAAAGACCAATCATGTTCATGCAACTTACAGCTGTCATTTGTCTACTCAGCTGACATATGTCAAGTAACTTTTTTTCATAAAAATGGCAATGACATACAACAAATAAACAGTCGATTTAAAAAAAATTATGATATAAGGTTTTGTTTTCTTATATACATCTTATAATCTTTTTTGTAGACATGTTTGGTTTAAATACATCTTTTTATCTAGAGAAGTCTTCAAGAAGATCATACCACATTGTACCACATAAGAAGAAAGAAAACTATTAAACGCCTGCTGTTTTTTTAAAGCAATATGTTCCATATCGTCACAAATTGCTAATGATGAAATTGCATTGACATATTTAATTTAATACATTTGATGCGAAGAATTCCTTAATTTTTTACTCCATGGAAGAGTTATAAATCATTAGGTATTGTGGTAGCATTGACTAATAATGACATGCCAATTTCCTATTAAAAAATCTCGATATCAATAGATGTTGAAAAGCTTTTACACAAATAAAACGACTGGGTAGATTAAGTACTGACAATACACACAACTACTATAAGTACTTACTACCTTTAAGCCCTTCAGGTATAAATGTTCGTGGTTATTACATTATCATTTGTTCCCAGCGGGAGTAGAATCCGCAACCGCAGCAGGTTGTCGCCAACCGCCTGCAACCTAAGATGTTTTATATGATATGTCATTGCCTGCAACGCCGTCTGAAGTGCTATGTTGTTGAGTTGATGATTAGTCACAGCTTTTGTTAATTAATCCGCCACTCGGTAATTCGTGTCGGTTACGAACTAATTAATTAACCAGCATTGGGCTGAGGCTTGGGAACGGAAAGCGTGTTCATTTGACTGTTACTTTTGGGTTGTAATAATTACAAGGGACTTAACCCTGGTGTCAGGATATAAACGGCATTAAGCTTCTGAAATGACTCAATCGGACCGACTACTAAGACTTACATATTTTATGTGCCTTTTGGGCCCTTTGAATTTAACACAAGCCGTGTTCTAATCAAATTGGGACTAACTTATTAAAACTGGATACTATCTCAGTCTTTTCTTGAGCTTGTATCGGGTTTTATGCGTCTGTTCAGATTACAAGAAATTTATATGCTTACTTATAGTACGATAGACATACTTTTCGATACTTTTCAGGAGATGGCCAATGGCCACAAATATTCAAAAAAACTTTGTCGTCCTTCTGAGCTTATCATGCAACCTTGGAGGACATTTTAGTCGATAAAACGCTTCTACCCCGCTATTGGTCGGTCCACCTCTATCGTGCGGCTACCGCACTGCGTCGGTAGTACGCATGTACATACTTTACCCCAAACATAAACAATGAATTAAAAAGTGCATCGGGCACTGTGCAATACTCAATAGAACATCTGCTGCAACCTTCAAGTTAATTTAGACTTAATTGCACAGAATCAAAGTACAGTTTTAGTTCTTTTTCCTTCGGCATCGAGAATACTACTCCAGTCATTCATGTGTTGTGTTGTGCCATCTGGCAGGCAGTCCACACGTGTTCCGTCGCGAAGTGGTTGTGTCAGATGATTTTATTTTTAAACTTTCGACAGTGTTAATTTAAGTTTTAATTTTTAGTGAAGACTTTTAACGCTATGTTGAGAACATTCATTCACAGTGACTGGTAAAATAGTGTTTAAAATAATATCAAGTCGGCGGTTCTATTTTTATCGCAACTTTGTTTTAAAATGGTAAGTTGAAAACTTGGCAATCGTTGCCGATTTCGTTTATAAGTTTTTATTTTGTTTACTTTTGAAATTTTAGCTTAACTTCTCGTAAAAGCTTCATAAAGTCCTAACTTTCACTCAATAACGTGCCCACTTAGAAAGGACTTGTATTACCGTTACCGGTTTTGGCGAGTTAGGTACCGGTACCATTCATCTGTGTCATAGCTGGCTATATCGTCAGTTGCAGGTTCACTTGGGGTAACTGACAAAATACAGTTTTTCAGTAGAGCCGTTTAAAGTTTTTTTTCGTCTTAAATCGGACATAACTTTTTTCCTATTTAACCTTTTTTGGATCTGTTTTTACAGAAATGCTTAGAATTCTACGCGGTTTTCGATTAAATAAAAAGAATTATCTAATATGTCTTAGTTAAGGAAATAAATTGCAGTTACACCAATGTATTTTTGTACTTTTGACAGTTACACTAATTTTACACCATACTTTTGGAAAAAACATAGGTCAAATTGATGTAAGTACTGCCCAAATTATAATAATTTGATGCATTTGCTGGGTTTTGTTTACTTAGTTGCTGTATAATTTATGTAAAAGTATTAAAAAATAAGAGAATTCATGAAAAAAATATCATTTTGTCGTTTTCTTTATATTTTTTTTAAATTTTATTAGAAGTAACTTTTATTTTATTCATTAAAAAATGATAAAAAAGCCACGAAAATCAAGAAAATATGTGTATTTAATTTTTTTAAGACAGAAATATTGAAATAACTAAAGTATTACTGTGAAACTAAGTAATTTCAATATTTTTTTAAGCTTTGACTTACCAATACCGTATTTAGCTCTACGGGGCAACTTAAACTGAAAACAAAATGGATTTAATTTCCCACCTCTTTATAGCAATGTTGAATTAAGGTCATGAGTACTACAACAGTAAAAGTAACAGAGTAACAACAGGTTAATGTTAGCAACGCGCAGTGACGCCTAGTTGGCTGGATAGTTTGCTCAATTTCAATATTTTTTTTTTGTTGAGCTAACTTTAACTTCTTTAACTGATACTGCTGGTATAAAAATAATGTAATATGCCTTAAAACTTTCTAAATTCCTATTTTATTTAATGTTATAAACCTTAGAAAATCAGTGTAATTGCAAAGTTTTGTAGCAAAATTTTTACATTATTACAGATACACCAATTTAACCTGGTAAAATTATTACAATGTCAGTTACACCAAAATTGTGAAGGAAATCTGAAAAGTTCACACCTGAAAATGTCCGTGTAATTGTATTTTTTTTAAAGCTAGAATTTTTTTACGTATACCATTCGAAAGAGCAGAAAAAACTAAGAAAAACTGTATATTTAACTCAAAAACCGTATTTTGTCAGTTACCCCAAGTGAACCTGCAACTGACGATATGTATATTCTGATTCCTAGCGTAGGTAAATAGCTAACTAAGTAGTCGTATAAATAAAATACTGAATGGATCATAGCCAAGAATTGATAGAAACCTGTGTTTGTAATCTGAAACTTTCGAACCCCTGACCCCTATGGTAATTTCAACACGCTTAAGTTAACGCAATTAACTACCTATGTCCTAGCTAATATTTACCTCCATATGGACAACTATAACTAAGCAGAGCAAGCTTATTATCATTAGGTATCTGTGCCCGCGTGAAAATCGTTTGTATTTTTTCCCGTTTTCGCAGCACGCTTAGCTTTATAATAATTTTCTCAAATTTTGATATTTCTCTCATTTCTTTCACTTCAATTCACTGCCAAACGATTTTTTCCCGTTTAGCCCAAAGGTTAACTGGCAGAGAATGCCTATTGGCATTTATGTTCGCGTTATCAATGTTTAAATAGTGTTACATAGTTGGGTTAATATTTTGAGGAAGAAATCGCGGCTCTGCTTTTATCTTTCAATTACAAATTCATGGCAAAAATTATTAATGTTAACAATTTAATATTAAAGTAGGCTCCTTTATTTTTAAATTATACACTTCAGGGCAGTGATTAAACATGGTTTCTCGGTCATTCTCCGGATCTGGATTATTTTGTTGATTACCCCGACCTTTTTTATTTTTGAATTTAGAGTAAGTTTAGGTAAAACATTTCAAAATAGACATTATTACGAGCATATTTTTTATATTGGCCCATCTGTAGCAAGCTGGAATAAAAAGTTATGCGACATCAAAATTTTCATGGTCGGGGTAATCAAAGTTGGGAGTCAGAGTAATCAAAAATAAAACAAAATATTTTATTTTCTAAGGTTTTTTTAAGTTATGGTAAAATAAATGTTATTATAACTAGCCATTTGTTATTTTGATGTATAAACGACAATATTGTAAAGTTTCAACAAAATCTGTTAAGTAGTTGTTGCGTAAAAGAGTAAAAAATATACATATACATTATACATATAATATTAGTAACTCAATGTCCTATGTCTCCTATATGGGACAGAAGGCGTCCACAACAGTCCTCCATCGCATTCGGTCTTGAGCTTCGTGTTTGATCTCGCTCCAAGTCTTAACAGTGCGCCGCTATGTTTTTTTGGCGCAACCACGTTTGCATTTTCCCTGGGGGTTCCAATCTAGAGCCTGCTTGGGGATGTGATCGGGGTCCCTTCGGAGAGTGTGGCCGATCCAGTTCCACTTGCAGCGTTTATTCTGCTGAAAGATCGGTATTTCGTGGCAGCGTTCCAAAAGTTCGTCGTTTTCAAACGATTTTGGAGAATTCGGCAAAGACAGCGGCTGAAGAAGATCTGCAGCTGGTGCGAGATAACCTTAGTGACCTTCCACGTTTCACGCCCATAGAGCAGAACTGGTTTGACGTTGGACCCGAATATTTTGATCTTGCTTGGGTCAATTTCCGTGACTGCCATACGGCTCGAAGTTGTGCGAAGGTAG